TCTGTTGGCCATTAAGTTTTTTCTGATCCTTCTTAAAATTACATGTGTACTACAAGAGACCAAAGAAAATCTACATATGAAATTTGAGAAAAATCCATGCATCCTGTACTTCAAGAAATAGTGATAACCAACTTTATTTTTCTAAATCAAAGACAGCTGACCATCTACCTTCCTTATTATCTGATCAGTCCCAAAATCAAAACAACACAACTAGAGACCAAGGAAAACCTACAAAGGAAATTTTAGAAGAATCCATACTGTATTATATAAGAAATAGGGGTAACATTTTTTTGTTGTAAATATCCAAGATATCTGTTGGCCATTTTGTTTTTCTGATCAGTCCCAAAATCATCCGGGCACAACAAGGGAACATGTGGAACTTACATGTGAAATTAGAAAAATACTATACATGACTTCTCAAGAAACAGTAGAAATAATTTTCCTTTTCCGAAATTCAAGATGTCTGGCTGTCAGTCATTTGTTTTTCTGATCAGTCCTGAAATCAAATGGGCAAAACAAGCTATTAAGGGGAACCTGCTACATATGAAATTTGAATGAGATCTATCAAGTACCTAGATCTAAGAAGGATCCATTTTCTAAAGAAATAGAGATAACAAATCTTTCATTGTAAAATTCAAGATGGCCTTCTGTCAGCCATTTTGTTTTCCTACAACTAGAGATCAAGGGGAACTTCAGTTATTTTAGATTTAGGCTATGAACCATCTGGTCATCAGTTTGATTCCAATGTACTTGAGGCAACAACCACTCATGGCATTAAAGTCTTTAATACTAGGAAAATTTCAAATCTAGATTTAAATTTGAATTCTCAAATGAGACCATTAACTGAATGGTGTTATTTCCAGTGACATCATAAACAATTTTAAATATAAAATAAATATTTTGGATTGTTACAAATATCACAACTGATGCATGAACAATAGACTTATTGCAGGAGTCACTGAAATCTACTCTGCAATAAAACTTCAAAAATCATTGAATGTGCATAACAGAAATTCAGTACATAAAGATATGTTCACATAGAGATGACTCCGGTGTCACCTTCATCTAACTTCTTGTGTTGCACTCTGGTAAGTCTTTAAATTTTTACTGTTAAAACTGATCACTGATGGAGAGTTTACTAAATCTGAAGTGGATAATTCCTAAATATAATGACAACAAATCATAGTAAATATGGAGTCCCTCATGGTAGCATCCTAGGACCACTTTTGTTTCTTGTGTACATCAACAACATGCCAAAGGCAACATACTGCAATTGTTCATCAATGATTCTAAGGTCTACGGGAACAGTAAAGTTCGGGAAGACAGTGAGACAATACAGGCAGATTTTCATAAACTTACGCAAAAAACTTACATTATCTTACATGTGGAAACTAATGTTAAATATTCAAAAATGTAAAGTATTGCAGTTTGGGCAATACAAAAAATTTGACCACAACATTCGAAATGAGCAAATCAAAAGCACAACAAAGGAGACTGTTCTGGGAGTGACCATAGATGAAAATCTAACATTCAGACAGCAGATTCTGCCATTTATGAGGCAGACAGATTGCTCAACCTAATCAAAAGAGCCTTCAGCCAACTTATTATAGACATGTTCACCTCACTAAACAAAACCCTGATTCAGCCAAGACTAGAGTGCATGTTACAGTTGACTCCAAAACACAAGAGAGATGTGTACAAATGCTTGAAAACTTGCAGTGAAGAGCCACAAAACTAGTTAAGGGGATAAGACATGTACACATGAGGCACTTGGTGAGACTTCTCAACGTAAGGTCTGGTCACAATGCAATATTGCAGCAAGAAGTATATATGATACAATTATATATTGGATCTGAAATGGGTCCCATAAAGTCAGCATGAAAAGATAGTTAAAGCTCCATACTGCTAGATGTGTAAACAAAATGCATGACTGTGGTGTTGCAAAAAATACATTTAGTGTCCGAGTGACAAATGATTAGAACCAATCAGGAAAAGTAGTATGTAGCAAAGTAAACAAGTTTAAAAGTTCACTCAACACTCACCGGAAGGAAATGGATATCAAATTCAATCCTGATTATGTGTAGATACATTTTAAACAGTGCTGCACTCTTTACAACAGTAACTCACATTTATCATAAACTCAAATATGAATTCATTCGAATAGTGGCAGGGTTCAGAATATACACATCCACTTGATGTTATAAAATTATCTGACATGTAAAAACAACCAAATTGATGTACTTAAGGGGATGCTTCATCTCCAAATCTAGATTTTGACTCATTTCTTTTTGGTTGCATTGAATTTTCTTCATTTGCCTCCAAAGCTTAAAAAATTAAAGACCTTTGCAGCACAACAAGTCATAGAAGGACAAAATAGCTGTATGATAGAATTTAATTCATTGTTTGGCTCTACTCTAACTCTTAATTGATATTAAAAGGTGCTATTAACTTTAATGTCTTTTGGACAATGATATACAAGTTTCACCAGGATTCTGTAGTAAGAGTAAATGTTGAAAAATGTTTATACTAAGTTTTAAACCACGCATCAGTTAATGAATACAAAATTAAGCAGTCTGGCACTTATTCAGTAAACAATCTGTATGGGGGCGAGTGTGTCGGGGGTCCAGAAGCAATACTTTAAAAATCTTGTTTTATCAAAAAACAAGTAAAAATACATAGGTGTAAAATTTTCTACACATATTACATAAGCTGAAAAAACAAACACTTTATGATACCATAAGAATATCTGCATGGTCAGTTTCGGCCAAAAGTTTTCATAATACCATATTGCAGTCTAAACTGATATAAAAAAAAAGTATGTAATATGCAATATTCCATCTCTTTTGGCACACAGATAACCATGATAGCTGGTCCTTTCCCCTTCAGGTTAGTCTAGTGAGTATCTATGATGTATTACGCCAAAGTGTAACCTCGGCAAAAAGGATACTCAATCTACCTTAAATAAGATGCTGTAACATCGGCCACGCCTATATTAATTTATAAACATTCAAAATTGTTTTAAAGTGAAACCTACCTTATATATAAGTATTGCTTGCATAATGATGTATGACAGAGAAAAATATAGTATTTTTTTCTTACTTAAATCTATTTTGAATGGGACATGGCTATATGCAGTTACATGAACGGCCTTGTTTGTGAATTGTTACCTTTTTAAAGAAGATTTTTCATGTTGAGAAATTTTGTGATAGCAAATGTCATAAAAATGCCACGATTGATTGTTTCCTAAAGTACATTAGTGTGTCACTACACTCCACCTGCAGATTGACAACACCTCAGAATCAAACAGTTGACCAAATCTTAAAGAAAATAGCTACCTTTCATCATAGTTCATTATATATTCTCAGTAACAATTAAAGTAACCCATTTCAAGACCAAATCAAACTGACTTTTATTAACCATAATACTTTAAGTGGTGGGAAAAGAGAGAGCCAGAGACGTTGCTGTACAAACGAACCCCCTTCAGACAGACAAAAGTGAAACTGAATGAAGATTGTGATTTACGATATCGTTTAGATCTCGTGTAATATAATGTAAGGTCTTGAGGGGTAGTTGTTTCTTAAATGAACCTGTTAAAATCACAATGTAAACAGAACCAAACGTGGTCAGGGTCCCCTCTTTTGACATGAACGACAACTTGCTCCACTTGTGCACACACACACAGTACATGTAATTGTAAATTAAGAACCAAAGATTATTTCTTGTACTCTGGAAATTTCATGTATGAATAAATATCAAAATCTGGACATGTGTATGAAAATACTATCAAAATATTTCCGTACCGCCAGATAAAGCAAACGTGATACTCTGTTTACATATTAGAAAGTCAGTTGAAGTAACACTTTGACATCACATGACTGATCACCTCATTAAATTTCTCACTGAAAGCATAATGGGTGCTTTCTACAGCCTAAAAACAAATATTGGGATATATTTGAGTGGCATCATCTGTGTGCTAGTGCCATTTTGATTACAATGTAACAGAATTCAACATTTGAGTGACTTGTCCCTCCATTAGCAGATTAGCAGGTTTTTATTTTAATCTAGTCTTAATAGTAACTCATAAGACTTGAAATTACCATGACTACTAGGTCCTAGATCAAGTTCGACACACAGGGTCGTGAAGGGAATACATTACACAAGCCCATCCCCTTGAAACGTTGTTATTAACACTATGGAATAATGCTATTTCTATAAATATCAGCAGTGACGAATTTCACGGTCAAAATTGCGTCTTGTAAGATCGACAATAGACACTGGGAACAGAAACAAGTATGCAGGTTGGGCCATGACCTCGATCGCCAATGTTGACAAACGAGTTCGGTGGTGTATGTACAATTCTACATTAGTAAACAAATAGGGCCATGTTTCTGCGGTAAATAGAGCCGTCATATAACTAAGTTCATTTCCAGTACATTCATAACAGTCTTTACTTCTTGCCTACATGTTAAAATGAGACACAAAGCACCATGAGAGCAGAGGAATGTCTCTACGTTCCTATGCAGTTTGGGTTACACTCCAACCTGTAGCCGTTCGCGATGGGATGTTTACTGATATTGTAGGCGTATTTTTATCGTTATTAAACCACCACTTTAAAACTGAACACAACTGATAATAGTTCAATGTATGTGGATCAAGAATAAATTAATATGCATGACATATAGTGTACAAAAGCAAGTGTAAATCAGTGTTAATTGCGGGACATATGAGCTGATTTTTTTCATTCTTGTCTACCCCTCAGTCAGAAGCAAACTCGGTCATGGCCTTCACCCACAAATATAAACATATCGATATTTTCTTCCATTTAAAATCTTTAACACGAATTATAACGACAAATTGGTGGGCATACTATCAATAGTCTGCATTTGTATCAAAAGCAGCAATCGATTTGCATGGCACAACACAGCGCACTATATCTTTTGGCGGAAGTAGATCTGACATACGGTTCGCCATGTTCGACCACTTGCACCCTAAACACTTACCATTTTCCGATGGAGGAAACGTATTAAGTTGTTCGTCATCTCGTTGAACTTGTGTTATAATGGACGAAGTGTCCATGTATACCTTCCGGAAATCCTGTAAACGACGTCGTGGCTACTTCTTATATAGCGAAACTGTGCAACAAACTTCTAAAATATTCAACATGGATGAATACAAACTTGACTCGACCATGATGGCGTACGAAGTGTTATTTCTATCTCATGCATACTAATGAGCCAGTAAAGTTTTCTGCTAGACAGTTTATTTTTATGTGAAAGAGTGCGTAATTATGTTCCCCTTTAAACGCTAGAGTTTAGTAATAGACAAATTCAGCATTTCTTTAATCTTAGACATTTTGTGAATGCCATTTTATTGATTTGACGCACCTGCTATTATTTAACGCGCGAAAACGTAAACCATTCAGATCGAACTTACCTATTCAATGAACCAATCAAAAGAGTTGTCTTAGAACTTGTCAACACTGCCCTATGTTTACGTTTACTAACTCATCTCTCACAGCTGTTCGTTTCAGTCTGTTAATCGTTGAAAGCGTACGAGGATAAGTGAATGCAAGCATAATGCAAATTTACAGAGACATAAAAAGGTTTCTCTTCTGAGTATATTAGATATATAAAGCATAACAAGATATATGTTCGCATGGTAATAAACTCGAAAAGGTTAAAGGTCAAACAATCTCTGGCATAGATCCAATACTTGTTCAATACGTCATATTTGAAGAGTAGTGAGCGCAATACGATTTCTTTATTTATTATTGGAGAGTGCTTTATCGGACTAGGACAGATTGACACTAAACATGAACATCGATCATAGATGGATATGTTATACCAATGGTAGGATAATTCGTATAAAAAATCGTAACTTGTCCATGATGAGATGTTGTCCCTAAATGAGTGTAACGGTTTTAAGTATCAATATTTATTCCGAATTGATGAATGATTCACGCTAATGAGAGAAAACAAAGCGATAAGATATTTAAGGTGTGTGCCAGTACTTAAATACTGGCGTTTTCGTGTTATTGCCGACACGACTTAAATCTATATCAAATAGCGACATGCTCTAATTCACTTATTTTATCAGAAACGTTCTATATTACAAAATCAACGTTTAATTACCTTTTTATACACAATGACGAATGTTTCTTTTGTGGTCTACCAGACTTGAGAAAACAACCCTGCTTGTATCTCGCTACATGTTGTAAGAAGCGATTGATTGAACCACTGCAGATTGGTTTTGCCAATGCCACAAGTATTTCAGTGGGTCTGTAGCACACATCTGGTATTATATACATATATATATATATATATTTATAATATATTTTTTTTAAATACCTGGGAAGATCATACATATAAATTCTTGATTTCTTGTTTTCCATTTTGACTTTTCCCCACCTCATTCAAACCACAGTTAACTCTGGTCACTTCATTTCCCGATGAAAGAATTAAGTGCGTCGCTATTGTTCTGGGAGATAAAAACTTCATGTCGCATCATGTTTTATATGTCACTGAAACCAAATCAAAATCTGAAATAATCCCAGGAAACTTCCAAAAAAATCTGACCTAATCCCAGGAAACTTCCATACATATGGGTATTGACTGTGCCCCACTGTTCAAGATCTTATCAAAACAGGAAACTTCAAAAATCTGACCTAATCCCAGGAAACTTCAAGTAAAATCTGACCTAATCCCAGGAAACTTCCAGTAAAATCTGACCTAATCCCAGGAAACTTCCAGTAAAATCTGACCTAATCCCAGGAACTTTCAAGTAAAATCTGACTTAATCCCAGGAAACTTCAAGTAAAATCTGACCTAATCCCAGGAAACTTCCAGTAAAATCTGACCTAATCCCAGGAAACTTCCAGTAAAATCTGACTTAATCCCAGGAAACTTCCAGTAAAATCTGACCTAATCCCAGGAAACTTCAAGTAAAATCTGACCTAATCCCAGGAAACTTCCAGTAAAATCTGACTTAATCCCAGGAACCTTCAAGTAAAATCTGACTTAATCCCAGGAAACTTCCAGTAAAATCTGACCTAATCCCAGGAAACTTCCAGTAAAATCTGACCTAATCCCAGGAAACTTCCAGTAAAGTCTGACCTAATCCCAGGAAACTTCCAGTAAAATCTGGCTTAATCCCAGGAACCTTCAAGTAAAGTCTGGTTTAATCCCAGGAACCTTCAAGTAAAATCTGACCTAATCCCAGGAACTTTCAAGTAAAATCTGACCTAATCCCAGGAAACATCCAGTAAAATCTGACTTAATCCCCAGTAAAATCTGACCTAATCTTCCAGTAAAATCTGACCTAATCCCAGGAAACTTCCAGTAAAATCTGACCTAATCCCAGGAAACTTCCAGTAAAATCTGACCTAATCCCAGGAAACTTCTAGTAAAATCTGACCTAATCCCAGGAAACTTCAAGTAAAATCTGACCTAATCCCAGGAAACTTCAAGTAAAATCTGACCTAATCCCAGGAAACTTCCAGTAAAATCTGACCTAATCCCAGGAAACTTCAAGTAAAATCTGACCTAATCCCAGGAAACTTCCAGTAAAATCTGACCTAATCCCAGGAAACTTCCAGTAAAATCTGACCTAATCCCAGGAAACTTCCAGTAAAATCTGACCTAATCCCAGGAAACTTCCAGTAAAATCTGACCTAATCCCAGGAAACTTCCAGTAAAGTCTGACCTAATCCCAGGAACCTTCAAGTAAAATCTGACCTAATCCCAGGAAACTTCCAGTAAAATCTGACCTAATCCCAGGAAACTTCCAGTAAAATCTGACCTAATCCCAGGAAACTTCCAGTAAAATCTGGACTTCTAAAATCCCAGGAAACTTCCTGACCTAATTCCAGTAAAATCTGACCTAATCCCAGGAAACTTCCAGTAAAATCTGACCTAATCCCAGGAAACTTCCAGTAAAGTCTGACCTAATCCCAGGAAACTTCCAGTAAAGTCTGACCTAATCCCAGGAAAATTCCAGTAAAATCTGACCTAATCCCAGGAAACTTCCAATCCCAGGAAACTTCAAGTAAAATCTGACCTAATCCCAGGAAACTTCCAGTAAAATCTGACCTAATCCCAGGAAACTTCCAGTAAAATCTGACCTAATCCCAGGAAACTTCCAGTAAAATCTGACCTAATCCCAGGAAACTTCTAGTAAAATCTGACCTAATCCCAGGAAACTTCTAGTAAAATCTGACCTAATCCCAGGAAACTTCCAGTAAAATCTGACCTAATCCCAGGAAACTTCCAGTAAAATCTGACCTAATCCCAGGAAACTTCTAGTAAAATCTGACCTAATCCCAGGAAACTTCCAGTAAAATCTGACCTAATCCCAGGAAACTTCCAGTAAAATCTGACCTAATCCCAGGAAACTTCCAGTAAAATCTGACCTAATCCCAGGAAACTTCCAGTAAAATCTGACCTAATCCCAGGAAACTTCCAGTAAAATCTGACCTAATCCCAGGAAACTTCCAGTAAAATCTGACCTAATCCCAGGAAACTTCCAGTAAAATCTGACCTAATCCCAGGAAACTTCCAGTAAAATCTGACCTAATCCCAGGAAACTTCCAGTAAAATCTGACCTAATCCCAGGAAACTTCCAGTAAAATCTGACCTAATCCCAGGAAACTTCAAGTAAAATCTGACCTAATCCCAGGAAACTTCCAGTAAAATCTGACTTAATCCCAGGAAACTTCCAGTAAAATCTGACCTAATCCCAGGAAACTTCCAGTAAAATCTGACTTAATCCCAGGAAACTTCCAGTAAAATCTGACCTAATCCCAGGAAACTTCCAGTAAAATCTGACCTAATCCCAGGAAACTTCCAGTAAAATCTGACCTAATCCCAGGAAACTTCCAGTAAAATCTGACCTAATCCCAGGAAACTTCCAGTAAAATCTGACCTAATCCCAGGAAACTTCCAGTAAAATCTGACCTAATCCCAGGAAACTTCCAGTAAAATCTGACCTAATCCCAGGAAACTTCAAGTAAAATCTGACCTAATCCCAGGAACCTTCCAGTAAAATCTGACCTAATCCCAGGAAACTTCCAGTAAAATCTGACCTAATCCCAGGAAACTTCAAGTAAAATCTGACCTAATCCCAGGAAACTTCCAGTAAAATCTGACCTAATCCCAGGAACCTTCAAGTAAAATCTGACCTAATCCCAGGAAACTTCCAGTAAAATCTGACCTAATCCCAGGAAACTTCAAGTAAAATCTGACCTAATCCCAGGAAACTTCAAGTAAAATCTGACCTAATCCCAGGAAACTTCCAGTAAAATCTGACCTAATCCCAGGAAACTTCCAGTAAAATCTGACTTAATCCCAGGAACCTTCAAGTAAAATCTGACGTTCTTAAAAAGAAGTTGGTAAAAGGGATGAACAGCAGATCGTGCCCTAAGCGAACCTAAGCCCTTTGGGTCGGATGAAACAGCAAAATAATGATAAGATAAAAATGAAAGCACAGTGATCTATGTTCTAAGTTGGATTTTATCAGTGAGGTATATTCAATATTCTACAAGTGAACACATAAACTTTTTATCAATTATAAAACTTCGACATATATGGACGGTCCATAGCTTTGCTCTCCCACAATCAATATTTGTTCCTTAATTTATCCAATCAGTGACATATGTACTCATTTGTATCTCATCAGTGACAAATTTCCTAAATGGTATGTGTATTCCACAAGTGATGTAGGTTGTCAATGGTATACCATCAGTAACATATGTTCTCAATGGTATCTGATCACTGACGAATAATTTTCTCCTTTATATCAAATCGGTAACGTATGTTCTATTCCACCGTGGATGTTATATTTCATCAGTGACATACATCATATTCCAGCAGTGGCATGCTTTATTCCACCAGGGACTTATGGTTTCATCCATCCGTGATGCATGTTTTGATATTTATACACACCCGGTGATGTCATATTCCACAAAGAAATATATTTAATTCCAGTAGTAATGTTATATAGCATAAGTAACAAGATTTATTCTACCAGAGACATGTTATATTCCATCAGTGACAAATGGTTTATTCTACCAGACATGTTATATTCCACCAGTGACAAATGGTTTATTCTACCAGACATGTTATATTCCACCAGTGACAAATGGTTTATTCTACCAGACATGTTATATTCCACCAGTAACAAATGGTTTATTCTACCAGAGACAGGTTATATTCCACCACTGACAAATGGTTTATTCTACCAGAGACATGTTATATTCCACCAGTAACAAATGGTTTATTCTACCAGAGACATGTTATATTCCACCAGTAACAAATGGTTTATTCTACCAGAGACATGTTATATTCCACCAGTGACAAATGGTTTATTCTACCAGAGACATGTTATATTCCACCAGTGACAAATGGTTTATTCTACCAGAGACATGTTATATTCCATCAGTGACAAATGGTTTATTCTATCAGAGAAATGGTTTATTCTATCAGACAGGTTATATTCCACCAGTGACAAATGGTTTATTCTACCAGAGACATGTTATATTCCATCAGTGACAAATGGTTTATTCTACCACAGACATGTTATATTCCATCAGTAACAAATGGTTTATTCTACCAGAGACATGTTATATTCCACCAGTGACAAATGGTTTATTCTACCACAGACATGTTATATTCCACCAGTGACAAATGGTTTATTCTACCAGAGACATGTTATATTCCATCAGTGACAAATGGTTTATTCTACCAGAGACATGTTATATTCCACCAGTGACAAATGGTTTATTCTACCAGAGACATGTTATATTCCATCAGTAACAAATGGTTTATTCTACCACAGACATGTTATATTCCACCAGTGACAAATGGTTTATTCTACCAGACATGTTATATTCCACCAGTGACAAATGGTTTATTCTACCAGAGACATGTTATATTCCACCAGTGACAAATGGTTTATTCTACCAGAGACATGTTATATTCCACCAGTAACAAATGGTTTATTCTACCAGACATGTTATATTCCATCACTGACAAATGGTTTATTCTATCAGACAAGTTATATTCCACCAGTAACAAATGGTTTATTCTACCAGACATGTTATATTCCACCAGTAACAAATGGTTTATTCTATCAGAGACATGTTATATTCCACCAGTGACAAATGGTTTATTCTACCAGAGACATGTTATATTCCATCAGTTATATACTATGTGTAGATTGATATTATTGTCATTCATTTTTACTATACATATATAAATGATACAATGTGTGTAGACGGCTTTTCCCTACCTGTTCACAACTACACTTATTGTGATCGTTTTACTACCCTGAAAAACAAACATTTTGGTTTATGTTTTAACAAGCATCAACACCCACAGAAAAGCTGAGAACATCAGTTGAATATAGCTAATTCTGAGTAGAATGTTTATTTCAAAAAATACAAGAAAAATCACAAGATTTAAAAAAATAACATGGATTAAAAATCTTTATTAGCATGTTTTTAATATGGACACATTGTGCAGATCTATAAAGACAAATGTATATACTGAAATGTCATTAAGATTCACTTTAGCTCATAAAACTGGACAGTTCAAACAAGCTTATAACTCATTGTTGGAATATCTCTCATGTTTGCTATGATTACTGTAAGCAGGTACATGACATTGTGCTTCATATTTCAAAAAAGCTGATCTCTTGTAAGGAACATTGTAATAGATACAAGGAAAATCTGATCTAACGAGAGACCTTGCCTGACAAACCTTAGGAAATAACTTTGTGTGAAAGTTAGTTCTGTATCCCGGGAAACTTATCCCTGTTTACAGAGCAGGATATTACTCTACACTACAAAACCATGCCCTGTTTAAGGGAGAAATTTGGCCCTTGTCCCTTGTATTCAGGAAAAAATAGTCCTGAATACTAATAATACTTGGACAAAAGGGTCAAAGGTTAAGCGGTGTTACCTTCATTATGCCAGACAAAAGGTTGGAACAGTTTTACATTCATTACGCCAGACAAAAGGGTCAAAGGTTAAACAGTCTTAATAATTTCCCAGTATGATGTGATACAATGCAGTAATTCAGTGATGTTCGTACTTTAAATCAATAAAGCAGTAAAACACTGGTTTTGTTGTTATTGATGTGAGTGCATTAAGTTCCTGGATACCATCTTTAGTTTTAACAATATACAAATTTTTGTAAAATTCCTAGTTCATAGGGTTACACAATAAAATGTTAAGATAGCTGAAATACAGCATTGAGAAATAATTGTCAGTGCTGTAGCAACACTATGCAGGCAACACTTATTTATAATAAATGTACATTTTACGATTTTGAGTGAACCGTCTTTATATTTCAAACCTGTACATTATACATAAAATTCATTCTTAACAAAGAATATCAAGCTTTCATAAAATCAGTAATTTCTCCCAAAACATTGGCGAGACTCCCTAGCAACAACAAATGTTGTGTAAGGTTTGGAGACAAGTTTGATGGTTTTCCTCTCTAGATATATATAGATCATTATTTAGGTATGATACCTAAAGTACTATCCAACACTTTCGTTTTGATTTGATGACAATGAGAACACATTTTTGTAGTGAAAGGGAATTGAGATAGAACACTTAGTTTTCGCTACAAAGAAGATCTAAATTTACATTACCGAATCACCTTAAACGTTTCTATCTATAACAAAATAGAATTTAAAGATGGCCTCTATCAAGGATAATTCCCTATACTACAGTGACTAACCATAAAATTTTGTAAGTGTTTTATAATAAAAATTTGATTTCTGTACATTCAACTACAAAGATATACTTAACAACCCTCTAACAAAGTAATAGACATCGTGATAAAATGGATCAACGAAGTCTAATTACTGGAGACAACAACATGGGATAATTCTTGTATAATATTTTATAACACCTCCTATCTAACAAGTATTGCTCTAAGTTATTGCTTTGAGAGACCAGCCTCCACTTCTGACTGTCTGCTTCATACACTAACAGTGCCTACCCTGATCATCAACATTTAAGTACACTTCTACCAGATCTTTTACAAGCTCAGACTGATTTTTGCAATCAATTATGCTCAATTGTCTTCAAATGATACTGAAAATGTCATGATTTTATTTTATGATTGTTATATAGAAAACCACAGGTATATTGAAACCCTATCTTGGTTTCTATAGAAACCAATCCATCCCTGACTTATATACAACAAGCTACTTTTAAAACCAACTACATGACATTCTCCACCAACCTAATCATGGCCAATATCTACATGTCATGATGATATTTTATAGATAGATGTTAAACCGATTAATATTTAATCTAAACTTTGTCAAACTTAATAGACAGATTTTAAACCTACCAATACTTATTGGTAACTCTGTCAAACTGGATAGATTTTAAACTTACCAATATGTATTCTAAACTTTGTCAAACTTAATAGACAGATTTTAAACCTACCAATATTTAATGGTAACTCTGTCAAACTGGATAGATTTTAAACTTACCAATATGTATTCTAAACTTTGTCAAACTTAATAGACAGATTTTAAACCTACCAATATTTAATGGTAACTCTGTCAAACTTGATAGATTTTAAACTTACCAATATGTATTCTAAACTTTGTCAAACTTAATAGACAGATTTTAAACCTACCAATACTTATTGGTAACTCTGTCAAACTGGATAGATTTTAAACTTACCAATATGTATTCTAAACTTTGTCAAACTTGATCAAAAGAGTTCAGCTCCATTGAACATGTTTGAGGAGGGTGTGAGCAAGGCTAGTAACACACCAAAACAAATGGTAATAGAAGACAATGACCCAAATAATATTGTGTTGAAAGTCCTTATTCCAGATCCCTAACCCACAAGATCAACAGTAAAAATAAACATGTTTTAAAAAAAAACAACCATCACGAGGGAAGAAAAAAATACAACTCCCAGTAAGAAATTTTGGCCATGAATAGTAGAAACAATGTATAATATATCATTTATAACTATGAACATGTATAAATATATCTATCTAAACATTTAACATACCCACTTCTTGAGCACAACTTAATATCATTCAAGGGAGATAACCCTTATGTATTAGATGGAATGCAATCTGAAGCTTTAGAGACTTCTGATGTAATGTTGGAATGTATGGATGTAATTTCTCAACTAAACACATCTACAAATTTGTTCTGAAAGCAGCAATGATATAATACTTATGACCTGTAAGAACTATACAAACTGTTATAAAAGGAACTCTTTGACCACACCATTTGATATGAAATATATTTGATCTGTATCAGCCATGTTTTTCGTGTGCTTTGGTGAAGAACATTAACGACTTTTCCATTTAAAGACAATGAAATAAATGCACACTTGTTTTATAAAACCGATAATATCTGTCTGGTTTCAGGTATTAACCAGAAGCCATAGTTTCTAACAATGTTCAAACTAAGGAAATAATTTGTTTTCGCAAGAAAAATAAAAACTGCTGGTGATTAAAAAAACACCAAAGCACCTTCAAAACATTGATGATACTTTGAGGAGACACGTGTGGTCCAGCAGTTCTGATTTGCTTGGTACCCATTACTACACTAGAATGGCTGCGTGTGATGCAGTCTTATTCATACAGAAATACAAAATTGGAATAATGTACATGCGAGAGTGGATTTAAAAGAGTTTTAATTTCTGCTTCTCCTGTTTCCGTTTCCATTCAGGAAGCTCCTGGAACTTTACATAGGGCATTTTAAATAGACGGTCGAAATCCTCTGTCGTCAGATGTAGCTGGAGAAAAACAATTTTTATATATCAGATACATGATAAGAAAGTAGTCTGACTTTACATATCTATAATTTTAATAATAAAATCATTCATGTTATGAACATCAGTGATAAAGTTAAAAGTCTAACTCCTGAATAAGTTCAACATACAATAGGTACAGTAAAAGACCTACCCATACCCATTGCTGTTCATAAGAACCACCAACAAATATTATTTCACTGTTTTGTTACAACCTATCCATATCTGTTGATGTAAATCAGTATTACACACAAATACTATTTAAGCGTCCTGTTAAAGACCCATCCATATCTATTGTTATAAATCAGATATACACACAAATACCTATCTAACTGTCCTGTTATAGACCCATCCATATATACTAACGGGAAAAAGAAACGCCGGGTACACTAAATATACTACAAATGATTTATTGCTTGGCCTAGAATAATGACACTCGGTCAGGTTGATGTGTTGTTTGCGGTCACTAGGTACACATGTTTAAAATCACACAATACCTGACCTCCGCACTCCGTGCGAGGCACATGCTAAAATACAAGAATCCCGTGCAGGGGAAGGTCATTAAGTTCACCAATGGAAATTTTCAGTCTATTTGATACTGTTCAAGTATTCGGATTGATTTTTCAAAGTTTGATTCAAATTAAGCAATTTACATCCATGCCACGATTGACGGAAGTCCAGCAGGGACAGGCTATAGGAATGCTTTTGCAGGGTCAGGGCCAACTTCAGGTTGCTGCACATTTTGGTGTGCATATTCGGACAATTCAACGTCTTGTCCAACGTGTGTGAGTGACGGGGAAGGTCATCGACAGACCGCGAAATGGACGTCCGTGCCTCACGACGCCACATCAGGATCGGTTTATAAGACTTTCTCACTTACGTAATCGCCATCTCACAGCTACCGAAACTGCAAATAACACTATAGGCAGTCATAACCGCCATATTCATCCTGATACGGTTTGAAACCGATTACGCGTCAATGGCCTAAGAGCCCGACGTCCCTTTGTTGGTCTGCCCCTAACTCCTGCGCGTCGCCAACGCCAATTGGCTTGGTTACAAGCACACTTGCCCAAAAATTTTCCTATGAGGCAATGGAGACGGGTATTCTTCACTGACGAATCCCGGTTCACTCTCTACCGTTCGGACGGGCGACATCGTGTATATCGACGTCGAGGGGATCGTTACACCGACGTGTGCGTCGCTGAGCAGGATAGGTTTGGCGGTGGTTTAGTATGTGTTTGGGGCGGTATCTCCTATGGGTTTAAATCACCCCTGATCGTGATTGACGGTAATTTAACCGGCATAAGGTATAGAGACGAAATCCTTCGCCCAGTTGCCATGCCATGTGTGCAAGCACAGAACCTGATATTCCAGCAAGACAATGCCCGGCCCCATGTTGCTAGAGTTTGTCAGCAATTTCTTGCCAACAATAACGTAATCCCAATCGACTGGCCAGCATTCAGTCCAGATTTGTATCCAATTGAGCATTTGTGGGACGAATTGGATAGGAGAGTTAGGAGACGTCCAAATGCCCCCACTAATCTGGTCCAGCTCACACGTGCCTTGCATGAAGAATGGAATAACATCCCCATTGCAAGGGTTAACACCCTGATGAATTCCATGCATAGAAGAATCAGGGCTGCGACAGCTGCGCATGGAGGACACACAAGATACTGAAATGTCCAGCCGTGTTGAGCAATACAAGTAGGGTCATCGCTAAAAGGGGGATATTTTTGGCATAATTAGCATTGATAATCGATAGAACCTTCAACAAATGGTTCCAAACAGATGAAATTGTATACAAAAATGAATGAAATAATGTAACATTAAATTATATCATTTAAAAGAATCTTTTTAGGTTACACGGCGTTTCTTTTTCGTTTTAGTATATATTGTTGTAAATCAGAATTACAAATACTATTAACTGTTCTGTTACAGACCTAACCCCGACTAAATAATGGCCAACAGCTTACTGTTAAATAAAGAAATTGACCTCTGAACTATGACCTCTTACCTCTCGACAGGTAGGATCCACTCCTTCGGGGAGGTCATCTGTTACTACCTGGAGTTTTTCCAGTGGATATTTTGCCACAGTGTTGAAGTCCATACCGTTGCTTGTTGTCTCCTGTAAATTGTCACCAAGATATACTATAATCAATATACTTAGTCCCTATAATAAACCCAATTACCTATGTAGCAATGAAAGTGATTTTTTTTAATCAATCATTTGATAGGTATGTGTTCTACTGATTGTTTTAACATTTATATTATTCACTATTGTAAACTGGGCAACTTTCATCCCGCGACAAACACTTTTTTCTCTCCTTGTAAAATTTGTAATAGCAAACATTACGTTTCAATGTGCAACTTTCACTACATAATAAAATTCACACATTGTTGGCAAAAACGATAAAAAGTTAAACAAGGCAAGAGGATCTAACAATACATATGAATGACACATTACCATGTCCTTTTACTCCTCCACTACTGTCACAAGGAGATGTTATTTGTTATTAGTGATTACATGATGTTATTTCCACTTAATGTCACCACATACATACATACAATGTACTTACCTCCAGTTCCTGAGGTAAAATGGCATTCTGACCTACAGCCACCACATACATACAATGTACTTACCTCCAGTTCCTGAGGTAAAATGGCATTCTGACCTACAGCCACCACATACATACAATGTACTTACCTCCAGTTCCTGAGGTAAAATGGCATTCTGACCTACAGCCACCACATACATACAATGTACTTACCTCCAGTTCCTGAGGTAAAATGGCATTCTGACCTACAGCCACCACATACATACAATGTACTTACCTCCAGTTCCTGAGGTAAAACTTCATTCTGATTTCTGGCCTCCTCAACCATTTCTTTATAACTCTTTCCACTCTAAGAAAGCCAAAAAGATTGAAAGATAAGTAAACATTAAAACCGTCAATCTCTACTCCAGTATCTAATATAAAACATCCAGTCAGGATCATCAATCTCTACTCCTGTATCTAATATAAATCATCTAGTCAGGATCATCAATCTCTATCTAATATAAAACATCCAGTCAGGATCATCAATCTCTACTCCTGTATCTAATATAAAACATCCAGTCAGGATCATCAATCTCTACTCCTGTATCTAATATACAACATCCAGTCAGGATCATCAATCTCTACTCCTGTATCTAATATACAACATCCAGTCAGGATCATCAATCTCTACTCCTGTATCTAATATACAACATCCAGTCAGGATCATCAATCTCTACTCCTGTATCTAATATACAACATCCAGTCAGGATCATCAATCTCTACTCCTGTATCTAATATACAACATCCAGTCAGGATCATCAATCTCTACTCCTGTATCTAATATAAAACATCCAGTCAGGATCATCAATCTCTATCTAATATAAAACATCCAGTCAGGATCATCAATCTCTACTCCTGTATCTAATATACAACATCCAGTCAGGATCATCAATCTCTACTCCTGTATCTAATATAAAACATCCAGTCAGGATCATCAATCTCTACTCCTGTATCTAATATAAAACATCCAGTCAGGATCATCAATCTCTACTCCTGTATCTAATATACAACATCCAGTCAGGATCATCAATCTCTACTCCTGTATCTAATATAAAACATCCAGTCAGGATCATCAATCTCTATCTAATATACAACATCCAGTCAGGATCATCAATCTCTACTCCTGTATCTAATATACAACATCCAGTCAGGATCATCAATCTCTATCTAATATAAAACATCCAGTCAGGATCATCAATCTCTACTCCTGTATCTAATATACAACATCCAGTCAGGATCATCAATCTCTATCTAATATAAAACATCCAGTCAGGATCATCAATCTCTACTCCTGTATCTAATATAAAACATCCAGTCAGGATCATCAATCTCTACTCCTGTATCTAATATACAACATCCAGTCAGGATCATCAATCTCTACTCCTGTATCTAATATAAAACATCCAGTCAGGATCATCAATCTCTATCTAATATACAACATCCAGTCAGGATCATCAATCTCTACTCCTGTATCTAATATAAAACATCCAGTCAGGATCATCAATCTCTATCTAATATACAACATCCAGTCAGGATCATCAATCTCTACTCCTGTATCTAATATACAACATCCAGTCAGGATCATCAATCTCTACTCCTGTATCTAATATAAAACATCCAGTCAGGATCATCAATCTCTACTCCTGTATCTAATATACAACATCCAGTCAGGATCATCAATCTCTACTCCTGTATCTAATATACAACATCCAGTCAGGATCATCAATCTCTACTCCTGTATCTAATATACAACATCCAGTCAGGATCATCAATCTCTATATCTAATATAAAACATCCAGTCAGGATCATCAATCTCTATCTAATATACAACATCCAGTCAGGATCATCAATCTCTACTCCTGTATCTAATATACAACATCCAGTCAGGATCATCAATCTCTATCTAATATACAACATCCAGTCAGGATCATCAATCTCTACTCCTGTATCTAATATACAACATCCAGTCAGGATCATCAATCTCTACTCCTGTATCTAATATAAAACATCCAGTCAGGATCATCAATCTCTACTCCTGTATCTAATATACAACATCCAGTCAGGATCATCAATCTCTACTCCTGTATCTAATATACAACATCCAGTCAGGATCATCAATCTCTACTCCTGTATCTAATATAAAACATCCAGTCAGGATCATCAATCTCTATCTAATATACAACATCCAGTCAGGATCATCAATCTCTACTCCTGTATCTAATATAAAACATCCAGTCAGGATCATCAATCTCTACTCCTGTATCTAATATACAACATCCAGTCAGGATCATCAATCTCTATCTAATATAAAACATCCAGTCAGGATCATCAATCTCTACTCCTGTATCTAATATACAACATCCAGTCAGGATCATCAATCTCTATCTAATATAAAACATCCAGTCAGGATCATCAATCTCTACTCCTGTATCTAATATACAACATCCAGTCAGGATCATCAATCTCTACTCCTGTATCTAATATAAAAACATCCAGTCAGGATCATCAATCTCTACTCCTGTATCTAATATAAAACATCCAGTCAGGATCATCAATCTCTACTCCTGTATCTAATATACAACATCCAGTCAGGATCATCAATCTCTACTCCTGTATCTAATATAAAACATCCAGTCAGGATCATCAATCTCTATCTAATATAAAACATCCAGTCTGGATCATCAATCTCCATTCCTGTAGCTCAACTGTGCTAAAGAAATCTCTCTAGGGCAATAAGTTTGTAATGAGGGGCCCTGAAGTTGGTAAGCTGCAAATTCTGTTAGTATGACCAATGTATATACCAGGTTTTATGATCCTAGTTATAATGCATACAAGTGATGCTCATGACAAAATTTTTAACAAAGGGCAATAAATCTGTACTGAGGGGTCATGGGCCCTGACTTTGCTACACTGCAACTTGATTTAGTATGACTGATGTATACATCAAGTTTCACTATCCTAGCTTAAATACTAGTATAGAAATGCTAAGAACACAAAATTTTATCAAAGGGTAATAACTCTGTAATAAAGGGGTTGCAGGCCCTAACATGATACAGTGCATATTATCTTCACGCAATGAATGAATACACCAATTTTCAGTATCCTATCTCAGATGCAAGCAAAGTTATGCTCTGGACAAAGGGCAATAACTGTGTATTTAAGAGGTCAAGTGCCCTGAATTTGGAACACAGCACATTGTCTTATTAAAATTAATGTAGTCTCTTCTGAAAGTGCAGTACTTTCAGATGAAATAGTTATCTTGATATATGTTGGACTGCACTAATTAAACTAAATCGACAAACAAAACTTACACTCCAAAGCTTTCTGTCCCAGACACCAAAGAAACCGGTAAACGTTGGAGGTTCATACTCCTGTTTGATCTGTATAATTGGTGTTCCGTCACCTCTGCCAGCGGGGTCAGAGGCCAAGTAGTTCTACAACATTCAACAAAACCATATTCTAGTGTTTATATAAAACTAGTATTCTCATTCAACAAATTCAATATTTATGAACATCTGTTGGATTTTATTATAAAACTTACAATAACCAGTTTATCTGACCTGGTACAATATCCTTACCATTAAACAATCTAGTACCCAATCCATACTATTACCAGTTTGGTGGACCTTGTACCCTATTCTTACCATTGCCAGCTCGAGGGAGCCAGTTCGCTCCGCCTTGTTAGCACCCTTCCCGATCCACAGATAAAGACAATCCCAGGCATCCAGCAGCATCACATCCTCCTCCACCAGGTCGTCCTACAACATAGTAAGGGACACAACTTTGGCATTTTTACATAAAATTCTGAATGACTGGTCTGTCATGCACCTAAAATTCAAAGACATTATTCAATCAAACAAAAACAAGTTCAGAAGTTTGAAAATAATGAAAGATGAATTAACATAATTCAGGAATATTTACATGAACAGGGAGCCCATAGCTACCATCTATCATCACACAAAATCATTCCACTTCACCCAAGAATACTTCAGACCAAAAGAGTATGATTTTAAAGAATTCACTCTATTTCCCTTATTTGGCCCCATTCCTCCTTCCCCAAGGAGCTGAGACCTAACACCTATATAATTTTGATTCCTCTTCCACCAAGGATGCTTCATACTAAACTTGAGCAATACTCATTCATTTCTACAGGAGGAGTCATAATATAAAGAACTTGCACGTTGACCATTTATGGTCCCACCCCTCAGGCCACTGGGGACTGAGAACCAATATTTATACAGACTTGAATCCACTGCCCCCAAGGATGCTTCAGACGAAATTTGATAAAACTATGTTCAGTCATTCATGACTAGTATCAATTTTTATCAAAAAGTTAATGGACACCAGACGGATCCTGGACGTCGCACTATGGCATAACCTCACAAGTCCTTTAGACCAGTTGAGCTAAAAACTTGAAGTGAATCTGTAACTTATTACAAAAGCTCAGATCATACTGACCCATGACATGAAAGCATTGGCTGTAAAAAAAAATTTACAAAGAGTTTTTTCAATACTAATCATATATTAGGGCTACACAGTTGTGACTGATGATGCCATACCTGTATGAAATTAGTGATCTCCTCAACTGTAAGATTTCCTGATGCATTTGACAACTGGAACAGCCTCGGTGATGGGACAGACTCACATTCCTGTGAATAAAATATACTATAAAATAGAAAACATACAGCTTAATGTTTGTCCAAACCCTGTAGCAAATAGTAGCCAGTCTTATATTAAACAGTAACATTATGTAACCTGTCTTATACTTACCTGAAAAAAATTGCCACTATTGTCATCAGTGTCATATTTACCTGTAAACATTTGTCATCAATGTCATATTTACCTGTAAATATTTGTCATCAATGTCATATTTACCTGTAAACATTTGTTATTAGTGTCATATCTACCAGTAAATATTTGTTATTAGCGTCATTATCTACCTGTAAATATTTGTTATTAGTGTCATTATCTACCTGTAAACATTTATTATTAGTGTCATATTTACCTGTAAATATTTGTCATCAATGTCATATTTACCTGTAAACATTTGTTATTAGTGTCATATTTACCTGTAAATATTTGTCATCAATGTCATATTTACCTGTAAACATTTGTTATTAGTGTCATATTTACCTGTAAATATTTGTCATCAATGTCATATTTACCTGTAAACGTTTGCCACTAGCATATTCCTCCTTTCCACCTAGTACTTTCCAAAAGTCTTCCTTCTCTTGGCCTTCAAAAACCATATTTGGCTGCCTATAATTAAAACACTATTTTTTACCAAAACTTATTACTAACTGATTTGTTCTCATCAATTTTATCAGTCATTTTGAACTGCTTTAATTAGGAATTAAATGCAGAAAGCATTAAGTGAGGGAGCTAAGAGATATCAGCCAATTAAGTAACAGCAGTCTCATAAAATATGCATAGAATTTGCCAATAATTGAACCTGAACAAGAATTTAAGGTAATAAGTCTACAAAGCAAGTTTCCTACAAATCTTATCCTTTCTTCATAAGATAATGCTCAGAAAGCATTCCCATTAAGCCATTAAAGACATCGGCCAATCAGGTCACAGCATCCTCATTAGATATGCGAGGAATTCACTGTTGATCTAACTTGGGCAAGAGATTATTTATTAGGTAACAAGTGTACCAACCAAGTTTCATTAAACATCACGCAGTCCTTCAAAAGATATCAGGCAGAAATCAGCATCCAGATGGACAGAAGGACAGATGGGAGGATGGACAGACAGACAGACTCATTGGAATATCCCTCATCAACTTTATTAGGCAGGGGATAATTATCAGATACATCAAATCTAAAAGTTTAAGTTTGCTGATGTTTTTAAAGATTAAAATAGCACCAACAGGAACTAATACAATGTTAAACTTGAAAAGGACATTTGAGTACTACTTGAGAAACAGCCACAACAACAACACAAACTAACCACCAACAACAATGCAGCACAAACCAGCAAGGAAAAGTGATTTTAATATAACTCCTGTTGATGAACTACATCATACTTACCGAGAATATCGTGCACACATCTTCTTGGCCATTTCTCTTTCATCTCCAGTACAGCCCTGCATTATCAAAACAAGAAAGGGTGAGTTTTGGCTGTCATCACTGGACACAAGAAAATGGTCAGTTAAGCTGGTCATCGCTGATTTTACAAAGAAAGAAAGATTGGAGGGGAGGTACTTACCTTTCCCATCCAAAGGTGAAGAGAGGTCTTGGTGACAATCACAAACACATCATTGGAGTTGAGAGAGGCAGCACGAAGTGGCACCTTAAATATCAGATACATAGTTATCATACCAGACAGTAGTAATTATACCAATGTTCATAAAATGTCCATGGACACAATTCAGGAAATGTTCTGGTAAATTTTTCCAAATTACCTACAAGATATCCATGGATAATTTTCCATGGAATATCCATTGATTTCCCCAGGGAAATCATGAAATTTGCATGATCAGAACTAGTCCAAGAGAGGTTAATATTTCTATGCTCCATTTCAGGATGAATTTTGACTTAAGGTCTGGACTGACCCTAATACAATAATATATCATGTAATAGAAAACCTGCCTTTAACTAAAGTCGATATTTCTGGTATATTTCAGTGGAACTGAATTCAATCTAGACACATGTGACACCTAATTTATAAGTATATGAAGTGAGGTAGTTTACAGTCACCATTTCAACTCCTGGGTGGTCTCTACCATCACCAATTAGAGCCAAAGTTTTTCAAATCAGGAGGTTATTACAAAATATAGGAAAAAATGAGGCAATCACTACAAGACAAAATTTAGGTCGAAAATATCAGAGGTTCTACTTCTGGTGGGAGATTAAACATGTTGTTAACAGAAATGTTTCTCTGATGACTTAGCTGCTGTGCAGTCCCACCAACATTTCTAAAAAGTTAATACTTTTCAGACGAAAGACGAGACAGTTGCTTACCTGTACTGCTTTAAAAGACAGCTGTGACAGACCACGCAGATGTAACATGCATTTGTCACTTGGTCCATCCTCATGATTTCTCTCTTCATTCTTGTCCTGACTTCCCTAAAATGTCAGGATTTATTTGAGTTAGTTACAGTGGGTGGTGGTATAGACTAAAGCTTGTATTCTCTGATTTTTTTTCAGATAAACCTGAACCTGATTATTTTCAAACAGAAACAAATAAATAAGCTGTAGATTAGAATTTCTGGATATGAATCACAGCAAAATCCTTTACTTTGGAGAGTGGTACACAAATTAACTCAAATCACAGCAAAATAATTTTACATGTATATTCCTCTGAGGAAGGGAAAAACTCTTTCACTTAAAGACGGAAACATCCTACGAAATGTAAACTTACTGAGTAGACAATCATTTTTCCATCAAACATTGCCATGAAATGTGGTGGCTCCTTCCCCTGCACAACTCGTATCTGTTAACAGCAACACAAGCTAGCAGTTTTTACAACAGATTTGAACTTATAGGGTTACATTGCTGTAGAGTGGTAATGCTTAAGTTTGGAGGTACTGTGGAATCATGTTTTTAGAGTGTATTGTGGGATATCAAAACAGGTTGTGTAAACATATAACAGATTGTGATGTGTGAATACACAACATATTGTGATGTGTAAAAATATAACAGGTTGTGATGTATAAAAATATAACAGGTTGTGATGTATAAAACATAACTTGTGTGTTATGGGGACACATTATTGGTGTGTTGTGGGGAAACATTATTGGTGTGTTGTGGGGAAACATTATTGGTGTGTTGTGGGGAAACATTATTGGTGTGGTGTGGGGAAACATTATTGGTGTGTTGTGGGGAAACATTATTGGTGTGTTGTGGGGAAACATTATTGGTGTGTTGTGGGGAAACATTATTGGTGTGTTGTGGGGAAACATTATTGGTGTGTTGTGGGGAAACATTATTGGTGTGTTGTGGGGAAACATTATTGGTGTGTTGTGGGGAAACATTATTGGTGTGTTGTGGGGAAACATTATTGGTGTGTTGTGGGGAAACATTATTGGTGTGTTGTGGGGAAACATTATTGGTGTGTTGTGGGGAAACATTATTGGTTGTCGTTAGGAAACATTATTGGTGTGTTGTGGGGAATCATTATTGGTGTGTTGTGGGGAATCATTATTGGTGTGTTGTGGGGAAACATTATTGGTGTGTTGTGGGGAAACATTATTGGTGTGTTGTGGGGAAACATTATTGGTGTGTTGTGGGGAAACATTATTGGTGTGTTGTGGGGAAACATTATTGGTGTGTTGTGGGGAAACATTATTGGTTGTCATTAGGAAACATTATTGGTGTGTTGTGGGGAAACATTATTGGTGTGTTGTGGGGAAACATTATTGGTGTGTTGTGTGGAAACATTATTGGTGTGTTGTGGGGAAACATTATTGGTGTGTTGTGGGGAAACATTATTGGTGTGTTGTGGGGAAACATTATTGGTGTGTTGTGGGGAAACATTATTGGTGTGTTGTGGGGAAACATTATTGGTGTGTTGTGGGTGTTGTGGGGAAACATTATTGGTGTGTTGTGGGGAACATTATTGGTGTGTTGTGGGGAAACATTATTGGTGTGTTGTGGGGAAACATTATTGGTGTGTTGTGGGTGTGTTGTGGGGAAACATTATTGGTGTGTTGTGGGGAAACATTATTGGTGTGTTGTGGGGAAACATTATTGGTGTGTTGTGGGGAAACATTATTGGTGTGTTGTGGGGAAACATTATTGGTGTGTTGTGGGGAAACATTATTGGTGTGTTGTGGGGAAACATTATTGGTGTGTTGTGGGGAAACATTATTGGTGTGTTGTGGGGTGTGTTGTGGGGAAACATTATTGGTGTGTTGGTGTGTTGTGGGGAAACATTATTGGTGTGTTGTGGGGAACATTATTGGTGTGTTGTGGGGTGTGTTGTGGGGAAACATTATTGGTGTGTTGTGGGGAAACATTATTGGTGTGTTGGAAACATTATTGGTGTGTTGTGGGGAAACATTATTGGTGTGTTGTCAGGGGAAACATTATTGGTGTGTTGTGGGGAACATTATTGGTGTGTTGTGGGGAAACATTATTGGTGTGTTGTGGGGAAACATGTGTGTGTTGTGGGGAAACATTATTGGTGTGTTGTGGGGAAACATTATTGGTGTGTTGTGGGGAAACATTATTGGTGTGTTGTGGGGAAACATTATTGGTGTGTTGTGGGGAAACATTATATCTGAAGAGAACACGACGGAAATACATTACCAGTGTGGAATCTCTATTGGGGTGTTGTGGGGAAACATTATTGGTGTGTTGTGGGGAAACATTATTGGTGTGTTGTGGGGAAACATTATTGGTGTGTTGTGGGGAAACATTATTGGTGTGTTGTGGGGAAACATTATTGGTGTGTTGTGGGGAAACATTATTGGTGTGTTGTGGGGAAACATTATTGGTGTGTTGTGGGGAAACATTATTGGTGTGTTGTGGGGAAACATTATTGGTGTGTTGTGGGGAAACATTAAACATTGGTGTGTTGTGGTGTGGAAACATTATTGGTGTGTTGTGGGGAAACATTATTGGTGTGTTGTGGGGAAACATTATTGGTGTGTTGTGGGGAAACATTATTGGTGTGTTGTGGGGAAACATTATTGGTGTGTTGTGTGGAAACATTGGTGTGTTGTGGGGAAACATTATTGGTGTGTTGTGGGGAAACATTATTGGTGTGTTGTGTGGAAACTGTGGGGAAACATTATTGGTGTGTTGTGGGGAAACATTATTGGTGTGTTGTGGGGAAACATTATTGGTGTGTTGTGGGGAAACATTATTGGTGTGTTGTGGGGAAACATTATTGGTGTGTTGTGGGGAAACATTATTGGTGTGTTGTGGGGAAACATTATTGGTGTGTTGTGGGGAAACATTATTGGTGTGTTGTGGGGAAACATTATTGGTGTGTTGAAACATAGGTGTGTTGTGGGGAAACATTATTGGTGTGTTGTGGGGAAACATTATTGGTGTGTTGTGGGGAAACATTATTGGTGTGTTGTGGGGAAACATTATTGGTGTGTTGTGGGGAAACATTATTGGTGTGTTGTGGGGAAACATTATTGGTGTGTTGTGGGGAAACATTATTGGTGTGTTGTGAGGAAACATTATTGGTGTGTTGTGAGGAAACATTATTGGTGTGTTGTGGGGAAACATTATTGGTGTGTTGTGGGGAAACATTATTGGTGTGTTGTGGGGAAACATTATTGGTGTGTTGTGGGGAAACATTATTGGTGTGTTGTGGGGAAACATTATTGGTGTGTTGTGGGGAAACATTATTGGTGTGTTGTGGGGAAACATTATTGGTGTGTTGTGGGGAAACATTATTGGTGTGTTGTGGGGAAACATTATTGGTGTGTTGTGGGGAAACATTATTGGTGTGTTGTGGGGAAACATTATTGGTGTGTTGTGGGGAAACATTATTGGTGTGTTGTGTTATTGGTGTGTTGTGGGGAAACATTATTGGTGTGTGTGTTGTGTGTTGTGTGGGAAACATTATTGGTGTGTTGTGGGGAAACATTATTGGTGTGTTGTGGGGAAACATTATTGGTGTGTTGTGGGGAAACATTATTGGTGTGTTGTGGGGAAACATTATTGGTGTGTTGTGGGGAAACATTATTGGTGTGTTGGTGTGTTGTGGGGAAACATTATTGGTGTGTTGTGGGGAAACATTATTGGTGTGTTGTGGGGAAACATTATTGGTGTGTTGTGGGGAAACATTATTGGTGTGTTGTGGGGAAACATTATTGGTGTGTTGTGGGGAAACATTATTGGTGTGTTGTGTGGAAACATTATTGGTGTGTTGTGTGGAAACATTATTGGTGTGTTGTGGGGAAACATTATTGGTTGTCGTTAGGAAACATTATTGGAAACATTATTGGTTTGGTGTGTTGTGGGGAAACATTATTGGTGTGTTGTGTGGAAACATTGGTGTGTTGTGGAGAAACATTATTGGTGTGTTGTGGGGAAACATTATTGGTGTGTTGTGGGGAAACATTATTGGTGTGTTGTGGGGAAACATTATTGGTGTGTTGTGAGGAAACATTATTGGTGTGGTGTGGGGAAACATTATTGGTGTGTTGTGGGGAAACATTATTGGTGTGTTGTGGGGAAACATTATTGGTGTGTTGTGGGGAAACATTATTGGTTGTCGTTAGGAAACATTATTGGTGTGTTGTGGGGAAACATTATTGGTGTGTTGTGGGGAAACATTATTGGTGTGTTGTGGGGAAACATTATTGGTGTGTTGTGGGGAAACATTATTGGTGTGTTGTGTGGAAACATTATTGGTGTGTTGTGGGGAAACATTATTGGTGTGTTGTGGGGAAACATTATTGGTGTGTTGTGGGGAAACATTATTGGTGTGTTGTGGGGAAACATTATTGGTGTGTTGTGGGGAAACATTATTGGTGTGTTGTGGGGAAACATTATTGGTGTGTTGTGGGGAAACATTATTGGTGTGTTGTGGTGTGTTGTGGGGAAACATTATTGGTGTGTTGTGTTATTGGTGTGTTGTGGGGAAACATTATTGGTGTGTTGTGGGGAAACATTATTGGTGTGTTGTGGGGAAACATTATTGGTGTGTTGTGGGGAAACATTATTGGTGTGTTGTGGGGAAACATTATTGGTGTGTTGTGGGGAAACATTATTGGTGTGTTGTGGGGAAACATTATTGGTGTGTTGTGGGGAAACATTATTGGTGTGTTGTGGGGAAACATTATTGGTGTGTTGTAGGGAAACATTATTGGTGTGTTGTGGGGAAACATTATTGGTGTGTTGTGGGGAAACATTATTGGTGTGTTGTGGGGGAAACATTATTGGTGTGTTGTGGGGAAACATTATTGGTGTGTTGTGGGGAAACATTATTGGTGTGTTGTGGGGAAACATTATTGGTGTGTTGTGGGGAAACATTATTGGTGTGTTGTGGGGAAACATTATTGGTGTGTTGTGGGGAAACATTATTGGTGTGTTGTGGGGAAACATTATTGGTGTGTTGTGAAACATTATTGGTTGTGGGGAAACATTATTGGTGTGTTGTGGGGAAACATTATTGGTGTGTTGGTGTGTTGTGGGGAAACATTATTGGTGTGTTGTGGGGAAACATTATTGGTGTGTTGTGGGGAAACATTATTGGTGTGTTGTGGGGAAACATTATTGGTGTGTTGTGGGGAAACATTATTGGTGTGTTGTGGGGAAACATTATTGGTGTGTTGTGGGGAAACATTGGTGTGTTGTGGGGAAACATTATTGGTGTGTTGTGGGGAAACATTGGTGTGTTGTGGGGAAACATTATTGGTGTGTTGTGGGGAAACATTATTGGTGTGTTGTGGGGAAACATTATTGGTGTGTTGTGGGGAAACATTATTGGTGTGTTGTGGGGAAACATTATTGGTGTGTTGTGGGGAAACATTATTGGTGTGTTGTGGGGAAACATTATTGGTGTGTTGTGGGGAAACATTATTGGTGTGTTGTGGGGAAACATTATTGGTGTGTTGTGGGGAAACATTATTGGTGTGTTGTGGGGAAACATTATTGGTGTGTTGTGGGGAAACATTATTGGTGTGTTGTGGGGAAACATTATTGGTGTGTTGTGGGGAAACATTATTGGTGTGTTGTGGGGACACATTATTGGTGTGTTGTGGGGAAACATTATTGGTGTGTTGTGGGGAAACATTATTGGTGTGTTGTGGGGAAACATTATTGGTGTGTTGTGGGGAAACATTATTGGTGTGTTGTGGGGAAATATAAAAGGTGTACTGTGAAACATTATTGGTGTGTTGTGGGGAAACATTATTGAAACATCTGTAAGTGTGTTGTGGAGAAGAAACAAGACAGTTGTTAAACTACCTGTGTTGTGGTTCAAGGACAGCAAACTGGTGTGTAACGCATCATTCATTTGAACAAACTTGGTAGTCCTTCATCCCAGCATGTCACAGTTCAACAGCTTTAAGGGCTGAGGTTCCTCTCTCTATGTTGGTGGAATGGGTACCCTGTAATTCAGGTAGTGCACAAAGTTATCAGAATACACAAAAAATACCTCAACATATCTGACTTATATAGGAAACAGTTTTTCTGAAAATGATCTGATCAATCTTTGAGTCATGATCAAGCTTACCATATCATGATTTCAGACCCAATGACAGTCAATCAGGTGTCAAAGAACTCAACAAGCCATTCCTAAGTGTAATTAACGAGCTTACCTGCCAGAAGTAGATGATGTTCTTTTCTCCCCCAGATTGATATGTGTATTGTATCACATAACAGTCCCCACCATAAAACTCGGCCCAATGCTTCTTCCCTTGGGGTTCCAGATTCTCATTCTGCACATGCCAAATCTATAACAAATCAAATATCTCTGGATACTTCATACAACACAACAAAAAAAAACTATCAGAAAACTGACAGAGTAGGATTCCAGATTCCAGGACATTAGGTGCAAAGATATTAAATTCATTTACTGAACTTCTCCTGTCAGATATTATGTTAGAATTCCTTCTATTAGATGTCATGTTAGAATATTATCTGTCAGATGTCATGATAGATTTTCATGTCAGAGGTCATGTTAGATTTTCTTGTCAAAGGCCATGTTAGATTTTCTTGTTAGAGGTCATGTTAGATTTTCATGTCAGAGGTCATGTTAGATTTTCTTGTCAGAGGTCATGTTAGATTTTCTTCTGTTACAGGTCATGTAAAAATTTCTCTTATCAGGTGTCATGTTAGAATATTTTCTGTAAGATTTAATGTTAGAATTTCTTGTCAGACTCTAGGGTAGAATTTCTTGTCAGAGGTCATTTTAGAATTTCTCCTGTCAGACTCCATGTTAGAATTTCTTGTCAGAGGTCATGCTAGAATTTCTCCTGTCAGACTCCATGTTAGAGTTTCCTGTCAGAGGTCATGCTAGAATTTCTCCTGTCAGACTCCATGTTAGAGTTTCCTGTCAGAGGTCATGCTAGAATTTCTCCTGTCAGACTCCATGTTAGAATTTCTTGTCAGAGGTCATGTTAGAATTCTCCTGTCAGATTCCATGTTAGTGTTTCCTGTCAGAGGTCATGTTAGAATTTATCCTGTCGGAATCCATGTTAGAATTTCTTGTCAGAGGTCATGTTAGAATTTCTCCTGTCAGAATCTATGTTAGAATTTCCTGTCAGAGGTCATGTTAGAATTTATCCTGTCGGAATCCATGTTAGAATTTCCTGTCAGAGGTCATGTTAGAATTTATCCTGTCGGAATCCATGTTAGAATTTCCTGTCAGAGGTCATGTTAGAATTTCTCCAGTCGGAATCCATGTTAGAATTTCCTGTCAGAGGTCATGTTAGAATTTCTCCAGTCGGAATCCATGTTAGAATTTCCTGTCAGAGGTCATGTTAGAATTTATCCTGTCAGATTCCATGTTAGTGTTTCCTGTCAGAGGTCATGTTAGAATTTATCCTGTCGGAATCCATGTTAGAATTTCTTGTCAGAGGTCATGTTAGAATTTCTCCTGTCAGAATCTATGTTAGAATTTCCTGTCAGAGGTCATGTTAGAATTTATCCTGTCGGAATCCATGTTAGAATTTCTTGTCAGAGGTCATGTTAGAATTTATCCTGTCGGAATCCATGTTAGAATTTCCTGTCAGAGGTCATGTTAGAATTTATCCTGTCGGAATCCATGTTAGAATTTCCTGTCAGAGGTCATGTTAGAATTTCTCCAGTCGGAATCCATGTTAGAATTTCCTGTCAGAGGTCATGTTAGAATTTATCCTGTCGGAATCCATGTTAGAATTTCTTGTCAGAGGTCATGTTAGAATTTATCCTGTCACATTCCATGTTAGAATTTCTTGTCAGAGGTCATGTTAGAATTTCTCCTGTCGGAATCCATGTTGGAATTTCTCCTGTCACATTCCATGTTGGAATTTCTCCTGTAAAACATCATGATAGATTATTTTCTGTTAGAGGTAATGTGTGAATTTCTCATCGGATGTCATGTTAGTATCTCTGTCAGACTCCATGTTACTATTTTTGCTGTCAGACATCATTAAATACCTCAACACGACCAGATCCATCGTCGACCATCTGCGTTTCTGCAGCCAGCTGAGGGTTTGAGTGGAGAGTGGAGGCATCAAACTTGGTCTGTACTGTCTTAGCTGTAAAAGTGAAGTTCACATAATGACCCACTTCATCACACATATATAGTAAAGGACATTGTTCATCACACAGATATATTATAGAACCTTGTTCATCACACAGATATATTAAAGGACCTTGTCCATCACACAAATATATTAAAGGACCTTGTTCATCACACATATATTAAAGGACCTTGTCCATCATACAAATATATCATAGGACCTTGTCTATCACACAGATATATTAAAGGACTTTGTTCTCCACACAAGTTCACATAATTTACTTCATCACACATATATAGTAAAGGACATTGTTCATCACACAGGTATATTATAGAACACTTATCACACAGGTATAATTAAGAACACTTATCACACAGGTATAAGTAAGAACACTTATCACACAGGTATAAGTAAGAACACTTATCACACAGGTATATTAAAGGACACTTATCACACAGGATATTAAAGGACCTTGTTCATCACACAAATATATCACACAGGTATAAGTAAGAACACTTATCACACAGGTATAAGTAAGAACACTTATCACACAGGTATAAGTAAGAACACTTATCACACAGGTATAAGTAAGAACACTTATCACACAGGTATAAGTAAGAACACTTATCACACAGGTATAAGTAAGAACACTTATCACACAGGTATAAGTAAGAACACTTATCACACAGGTATAAGTAAGAACACTTATCACACAGGTATAAGTAAGAACACTTATCACACAGGTATAAGTAAGAACACTTATCACACAGGTATAAGTAAGAACACTTATTTATCACACAGGTATAAGTAAGAACACTTATCACACAGGTATAAGTAAGAACACTTATCACACAGGTATAAGTAAGAACACTCATCACACAGGTATAAGTAAGAACACTCATCACACAGGTATAAGTAAGAACACTTATCACACAGGTATAAGTAAGAACACTTATCACACAGGTATAAGTAAGAACACTTATCACACAGGTATAAGTAAGAACACTTATCACACAGGTATAAGTAAGAACACTTATCACACAGGTATAAGTAAGAACACTTATCACACAGGTATAAGTAAGAACACTTATCACACAGGTATAAGTAAGAACACTTATCACACAGGTATAAGTAAGAACACTTATCACACAGGTATAAGTAAGAACACTTATCACACAGGTATAAGTAAGAACACTTATCACACAGGTATAAGTAAGAACACTTATCACACAGGTATAAGTAAGAACACTTATCACACAGGTATAAGTAAGAACACTTATCACACAGGTATAAGTAAGAACACTTATCACACAGGTATAAGTAAGAACACTTATCACACAGGTATAAGTAAGAACACTTATCACACAGGTATAAGTAAGAACACTTATCACACAGGTATAAGTAAGAACACTTATCACACAGGTATAAGTAAGAACACTTATCACACAGGTATAAGTAAGAACACTTATCACACAGAACACTTATCACACAGGTATAAGTAGGACCACTTATCACACAGGTATAAGTAAGAACACTTATCACACAGGTATAAGTAAGAACACTTATCACACAGGTATAAGTAAGAACACTTATCACACAGGTATAAGTAAGAACACTTATCACACAGGTATAAGTAAGAACACTTATCACACAGGTATAAGTAAGAACACTTATCACACAGGTATAAGTAAGAACACTTATCACACAGGTATAAGTAAGAACACTTATCACACAGGTATAAGTAAGAACACTTATCACACAGGTATAAGTAAGAACACTTATCACACAGGTATAAGTAAGAACACTTATCACACAGGTATAAGTAAGAACACTTATCACACAGGTATAAGTAAGAACACTTATCACACAGGTATAAGTAAGAACACTTATCACACAGGTATAAGTAAGAACACTTATCACACAGGTATAAGTAAGAACACTTATCACACAGGTATAAGTAAGAACACTTATTTATCACACAGGTATAAGTAAGAACACTTATCACACAGGTATAAGTAAGAACACTTATCACACAGGTATAAGTAAGAACACTTATCACACAGGTATAAGTAAGAACACTTATCACACAGGTATAAGTAAGAACACTTATCACACAGGTATAAGTAAGAACACTTATCACACAGGTATAAGTAAGAACACTTATCACACAGGTATAAGTAAGAACACTTATCACACAGGTATAAGTAAGAACACTTATTTATCACACAGGTATAAGTAAGAACACTTATCACACAGGTATAAGTAAGAACACTTATCACACAGGTATAAGTAAGAACACTTATCACACAGGTATAAGTAAGAACACTTATCACACAGGTATAAGTAAGAACACTTATCACACAGGTATAAGTAAGAACACTTATCACACAGGTATAAGTAAGAACACTTATCACACAGGTATAAGTAAGAACACTTATCACACAGGTATAAGTAAGAACACTTATTTATCACACAGGTATAAGTAAGAACACTTATCACACAGGTATAAGTAAGAACACTTATTTATCACACAGGTATAAGTAAGAACACTTATCACACAGGTATAAGTAAGAACACTTATTTATCACACAGGTATAAGTAAGAACACTTATCACACAGGTATAAGTAAGAACACTTATTTATCACACAGGTATAAGTAAGAACACTTATTTATCACACAGGTATAAGTAAGAACACTTATCACACAGGTATAAGTAAGAACACTTATTTATCACACAGGTATAAGTAAGAACACTTATCACACAGGTATAAGTAAGAACACTTATCACACAGGTATAAGTAAGAACACTTATCACACAGGTATAAGTAAGAACACTTATCACACAGGTATAAGTAAGAACACTTATCACACAGGTATAAGTAAGAACATTTATCACACAGGTATAAGTAAGAACACTTATCACACAGGTATAAGTAAGAACACTTATCACACAGGTATAAGTAAGAACACTTATCACACAGGTATAAGTAAGAACACTTATCACACAGGTATAAGTAAGAACACTTATCACACAGGTATAAGTAAGAACACTTATCACACAGGTATAAGTAAGAACACTTATCACACAGGTATAAGTAAGAACACTTATTTATCACACAGGTATAATTAAGGTCCTTGATCATAAGAATTTAGTATTTTGTATGCTGAAGGATAATTTCTGTTTCACATCATTGCATTTGCCAAAATCCTAAGAATTTTCCAAGATGAAACATAAAAACAAGAAATTTAAATTTGGATAATGTTTACCTATTCTATTGCGGTTGTAACTTTTCCCAGATGACTTTGGCTGAGGCCAGTTATTGAACAGCCACTGGAATTCGACAGGCTCAGCACCTTGAGATGTTGTTGTCACTTGTGTGTTGAGGTTAAGCCCCTTTTTATTCAGAAATCCCTAAAGGGAGAAAAATAAACTCTTAAATACTCCTGTTGAATGCAAAAAACATGATGTAGTCACATTAAAAGTAAAGTCACTCATCACAGCAAGAATCATGCACTCACCAAAGCTACTAATACACTCACCACAGCTACAGACATGTACTCACCACAGCTAGTCACACACTCACCACAGCTAGTCACACACTCACCACAGCTAGTCACACACTTACCACAGCTAGTCACACACTCACCACAGCTAGTCACACACTTACCACAGCTAGAGACATGTACTCACCACAGCTAGTCACACACTCACCACAGCTAGTCACACACTTACCACAGCTAGTCACACACTCACCACAGCTAGTCACACACTTACCACAGCTAGTCACACACTTACCACAGCTAGTCACACACTCACCACAGCTAGTCACACACTCACCACAGCTAGTCACACACTCACCACAGCTAGTCACACACTTACCACAGCTAGTCACACACTCACCACAGCTAGTCACACACTCACCACAGCTAGTCACACACTCACCACAGCTAGTCACACACTTACAACAGCTAGTCACGCACTTACCACAGCTAGAGACATGTACTAACCACAGCTAGTCACACAGTTACCACAGCTAGTCACACACTTACCACAGCTAGTCACACACTTACCACAGCAAGTCACGCACTTACCACAGCTAGTTATGTACTCACCACAGCTAGTCACACACTTACCACAGCTAGAGACATGTACTCACCACAGCTAGTCACACACTCACCACAGCTAGTCACACACTTACAACAGCTAGTCACGCACTCACCACAGCTAGTCACACACTTACAACAGCTAGTCACACACTTACCACAGCTAGTCACACACTCACCAAAGCTAGTCACGCACTTACCACAGCTAGTTATGTACTCACCACAGCTAGTCACACACTTACCACAGCTAGACATGTACTCACCACAGCTAGTCACACACTCACCACAGCTAGTCACACACTTACAACAGCTAGTCACGCACTTACCACAGCTAGAGACATGTACTCACCACAGCTAGTCACACACTTACCACAGCTAGAGACATGTACTCACCACAGCTAGTCACACACTTACCACACTAGTCACACACTTACCATAGCTAGTCACACACTCACCACAGCTAGTCACACACTTACAACAGCTAGTCACACACTTACCACAGCTAGTCACACACTCACTCTCACCACAGCTAGTCACACACTCACCACAGCTAGTCCTGTACTCACCACAGCTAGTCCTGTTCTCACCACAGAGAGAGTTATGTACTCACCACGGCCAGATTCATGCCTTTCCTCTCCTTCTGAGATGCTCCTTTGCCCTTCCAGAACCAGATTCTCTGGTTACTTGAGATGATGAAGGCGTCCTAAAAACAAAAAAGATCACAAAGTCACAACAATTCATACTATAAACAAACATAAATGCCTCATCCTTAGAGACCTATTTAAGCACATAAAAAAGCTTCCTAACAAAAATTAAAACCAACACTTCATTCATAAGTCTCAGAAACATAATTGATTGTTAAGAGGAACATATTATTCTCTTGTTTGTAAGTCTCTATTCCCAAATTTCTGATTAATGAACATTCCCCTGAAATACCCAAGTATACAGTTTCTGAAAATTGTGGTCTGAATGAATCTAAATGGGGACATAATTCTCTGCAGGTTTCAAATAAAACACAATACTTATTAAATGTACCGCCATTCTACAGTTTCAACATAATGGACCTAATAACAAGGTCCTTTTGTTTCAATAGAATAAACATGACTTACATTAGGATCAAGGTCCTCGTGTTTCAACGGACCTGTTTTCACCTCAGACACTGTTAAAGTATCATCTTCCTCTTTCACTCTGTAAGTAAAACACTGATCAAGTGAAAGAATGGGTTTGTTAAACAACGGCTTTCTTAATGGACTAGTGAGAACTGAGATAACTCTATAAACAACAAAGAGAATTGGGAAGGGCATGTCTGTGTCTTTACCGCTGTATATATCCTGAAGGCAGCCCAAAAAGTTTTGTTTGTATTCTGCGTTTATCGCGTTTATGAAGTAAATGGTGGAAACCTCACTGAACTACACACTAAAATCTCTACCATGGACAGGAAATGTCGAACCACATACTTTGTATCTAATATCTATGATAGTTGAAACTGGTACACCACTTCCTGTAGATCTCCACCACAGTTTGGAAATGTTCAACCACACATTTCAATTCTCTACCACCGACAGGAAATGTTGAACCATACTCTACAGATCTCCGCAACAGGTAGGGACATCAAACTGCACATTTTGTATCTCCATAACAAGTAGGAAACTTCTAATCACACATTTATGGATATCAAAACAGGAGGGACACGTCTACTACACACTTCAGATCTCTATCACAGGAGGGGAATGTCAAACTACACAGTTCAGATCTCTATCACAGGAGGGGAACGTCAAACTACACACTTCAGATCTCTATCACAGGCAGGACACGTCAAACTACACACTTCAGATCTCTATCACAGGCAGGACACATCAAACTACACACTTCAGATGTCTATCACAGGAGAACGTCAAACTACACAGTTCAGATCTCTATCACAGAAGGAGAACGTCAAACTACACAGTTCAGATCTCAATCACAGGCAGGACACGTCAAACTACACACTTCAGATCTCTATCACAGAAGGAGAATGTCAAACTACACACTTCAGATCTCTATCACAGGCAGGACACGTCAAACTACACACTTCAGATCTCTATCACAGGAGAACGTCAAACTACACACTTCAGATCTCTATCACAGGCAGGACACGTCAAACTACACACTTCAGATCTCTATCACAGGAGGGGAACATCAAACTACACACTTCAGATCTCTATCACAGGCAGGACACGTCAAACTACACACTTCAGATCTCTATCACAGGAGGGGAACATCAAACTACACACTTCAGATCTCTATCACAGGCAGGACACGTCAAACTACACACTTCAGATCTCTATCACAGGCAGGACACGTCAAACTACACACTTCAGATCTCTATCACAGGAGAGGAACGTCAAACTACACAGTTCAGATCTCTATCACAGGAGGAGAAAGTCAAACTACACAGTTCAGATCTCTATCACAGGCAGGACACGTCAAACTACACACTTCAGATGTCTATCACAGGAGAACGTCAAACTACACAGTTCAGATCTCTATCACAGATCTCTATCACACAGGCAGGACACGTCAAACTACACACTTCAGATCTCTATCACAGGAGGGGAACATCAAACTACACACTTCAGATCTCTATCACAGGCAGGACACGTCAAACTACACACTTCAGATCTCTATCACAGGAGGGGAACGTCAAACTACACACTTCAGATCTCTATCACAGGCAGGACACGTCAAACTAAACACTTCAGATCTCTATCACAGGAGGGGAACGTCAAACTACACAGTTCAGATCTCTATCACAGGAGGAGAAAGTCAAACTACACACTTCAGATCTCTATCACAGGAGGGGAACATCAAACTACACACTTCAGATCTCTATCACAGGCAGGACACGTCAAACTACACAGTTCAGATCTCTATCACAGGAGGGGAACATCAAACTACACAGTTCAGATCTCTATCACAGGAGGAGAAAGTCAAACTACACAGTTCATATCTCTATCACAGGCAGGACATGTCAAACTACACAGTTCAGATCTCTATCACAGGCAGGACACGTCAAACTACACAGTTCAGATCTCTATCACAGGTAAAGAAACCATTAACTTAAGATTAAGTTGCCCCCCCCCCCCTCCCCCAAAGAAAAAAAACAAAATCTATTTATTTCAATAACCTGTAGTATGCTTACTCTTTCAGTCAATGTTCTGGAAGATGTAATGCCATTATAATAGTGTAAAGCTGAGGAATATTACTTACACATAGAGTTTGCTAGTCTTGTCTGGGGTGCTCTCATCAGCTTTAGAATCCTCACCTCCTTCCACAGCCGATTTTAAGTCGGATCTTTTGTTATCTGGCAGATGTTCTTTGAACACCTAAATTGTGAAAAGTCATACCAAACCATTAAATACCTCCATATGATGAGTCAACCACAACATACTACACCACAAGACGGTAAATATGATCAGTGAAAAATCATACAACACCACCAGAGAATAAATGTGCTACTATGATAATGAAGTTTTTCAAATGATACATTTGCTCTTTTGCAAATTTGGTACAAATTTGTTTTTGGATCCTAAAGAAAAAGAGGCCCATTGGGCTGGTATCACTTACCTGGCTTTGGTTGCCTGAAATTGTTTCATCAAAACTAAAGGAATTCTAAATATATAAATCTAAATAATTTGCCACTGGGGCCAAACCGTCTCAAAAGAGGGAGAATTTAATGAATTTGTTCTATTTTTCCTATCATAGGTCTTGCCCCTCTGACCCCAGGGGCACCCAGTGTTTATACAAAATTGATTACACTTCATCAAGAAAGCTTCAGACCTACTGGACCACACCTCTCCTGCCCCCGAGGGCTAAGATCCATCCTTCATACAGAACTGATTTCCTTTAACCCAAAATCAAAAATCTTTCTTTTACCTTCATTTCATTAGGGAATGTCTCCTCCTCCTTCTTCTCCTGACCATCATCTATCACCACTATGTTGCTCTTTTTAGTGCGGCCATTCTTCAGCTGAGTAGCATAATTTAATCCCTGTAAGAAAGTGACATTTTAATACCATGCTCTGACCCGGGATGTCAGAAATATCAACACTGCTTCTGGCTGGAAACAGACTCACAAGTGAGTCAAACAATTCTTCAGTGAAGTATGTTATAACTTTCAGTATCAACATGATATAAATAATAACATGTGAGAATATGTCAGTATATTTTTATATTTTTTTGAAATGTTTGATTTATCTGTTGAGTTAGAATATGACGGTATAATGTTACACTATACCTTCATGACGTCACGGTAAAATGTTACACTATACCTTCATGACATCACAGTATAATGTTACACTATATCTTCATGACATCACGGTATAATGTTACACTGTATCTTCATGACATCAAAGTATAATGCTACACTATACCTTCATGACATCACAGTATAATGTTACACTATACCTTCATGACATCACAGTATAATGTTACACTATATCTTCATGACATCACGGTATAATGTTACACTATACCTTCATGACATCACGGTATAATGTTACACTATACCTTCATGACATCACAGTATAATGTTACACTATATCTTCATGACATCACAGTGTAATGTTACACTATACCTTCATGACATCACAGTATAATGATACACTATACCTTCATGACATCACGGTATAATGTTACACTATATCTTCATGACATCACAGTATAATGTTACACTATACCTTCATGACATCACGGTATAATGTTACACTATGCCTTCATGACATCACGGTATAATGTTACACTATACCTTCATGACATCACAGTATAATGTTACACTATTTCTACACCATGTCACAGTATAATGTTACACTATATCTTCATGACATCACAGTATAATGTTACACTATATCTTCATGACATCACAATATAATGTTACACTTTACCTTCATGACATCACAGTATAATGTTACACTATACCTTCATGACATCACAGTATAATGTTACACTATACCTTCATGACATCACAGTATAATGTTACACTATTTCTACACCATGTCACAGTATAATGTTACACTATATCTTCATGACATCACAGTATAATGTTACACTATATCTTCATGACATCACAGTATAATGTTACACTATTTCTTCATGACATCACAGTATAATGTTACACTATTTCTACACCATGTCACAGTATAATGTTACACTATATCTTCATGACATCACAGTATAATGTTACACTATATCTTCATGACATCACAGTATAATGTTACACTATTTCTACACCATGTCACAGTATAATGTTACACTATATCTTCATGACATCACAGTATAATGTTACACTATATCTTCATGACATCACAGTATAATGTTACACTATTTCTTCATGACATCACAGTATAATGTTACACTATATCTTCATGACATCACAGTATAATGTTACACTATATCTTCATGACATCACAGTATAATGTTACACTATATCTTCATGACATCACGGTATAATGTTACGCTATTTCTACACAATGTCACAGTATAATGTTACACTATTTCTACACCATGTCACAGTATAATGCTATTTCTTCATGATGGTAGGGTTGCTTACCTTAATCCTCTCACGACGACTGGATTTTTCTCCATTCCAAACAAACATCAACTTGTTTTTGGGGACATCCAGGATAAAAACATCACCTTTGTTCATCGCTGACCAGGCAACCTCGGAAAGCTACCAAAACAAAACTAGAAGTGTCATCTCTAGGATAACTATTAACCTCGGGGGTGAAAAGACTTTACACATCAGTTCTTTTAGTTTCAGTCTAAGAGACCTCAGCATTTCATGAATTTCATTGAATTTCCTTATATATGAACCATTGATTCCATTGTCTAGTTACATTACACACATTAAAATGCCAATCCATAATATATCAACTTTAAGCCATTTTCATGATAAGAAAATATCTCAATTTCAACCAATCAGAACCCTTGATTTATTTTCTATAATAATTATCCTGGAAACACCTGGTGTGTCAAATATATACTTTGATAAGATACACCATTTGACAAAGTTTCATTAAAAATTGATCTTCGGACTGATTTGCCATAACAAAAACCTGTGTACAGTGACCGGGTTACCATGGCTACAAAATGTCTGCTAAAATAACATACATGCACATCTACACTTGATTTATAACATTCCTTTGTAGTTTCATTAAACTTGATTTAAGAGTTTAGGGGTTTACAGACATCCAGGCATGGTGATTCTAGTATACCCACCAAACTTTCTTTGTTGTCTGTACATAATGCGACTGTAACTGCCATACTGAGAGAGTGCCATATTAAGCAGAAGACTTACCTCAGTTATCCGTATGTTATGGGTGCCTTTGACTTGCATTAGTCGCACAGTAAAGGTATGTTCCACATGGTTGAATCCTGATTTAACCCCTCCTTTCATGTAGCTGGTGAGAATACATCAAATTAATTTGATATTTTCTGGTGACATGACATTTCGAGCTTTTTTGTCTAATAACATGAAATTTCAACCTATTTGTCTGGTCTTTCTAAGCAGTACGTTATGACTACCATTCTCATATATGACAACTTCATCTTTGAACATTCATCCAAGACTGAAGTCATAACAGATATGCAGACCTCAAGTTACACAAGTCTGAATCCATCAAGAATTGTCCAGACCTCAAGTTACCCACGACTGAATGTATCAAGAATTGTCCAGACCTTGTGTTACCAAAGACTGAATCTATTAAGAATTGTCCAGACCTTGTGTTACCCAAGACTGAATGTATCAAGAATTGTCCAGACCTCAAGTTACCCAAGACTGAATCCATCAAGAATTGTCCAGACCTTGTGTTACCAAAGACTGAATCTACCCAAAGTTACCCAAGACTGCATCCATCAAGAATTGTCCAGACCTCAAGTTACCCAAGACTGAATGTATCAAGAATTGTCCAGACCTTGTGTCACCCAAGTCTGAATCCATCAAGAATTGTCCAGACCTCAAGTTACCCAAGACTGAATCCATCAAGAATTGTCCAGACCTCAAGTTACCCAAGACTGAATCCATCAAGAATTGTCCAGACCTCAAGTTACCCAAGACTGAATCCATCAAGAATTGTCCAGACCTTGAGTCACCAAAGTCTAAAGCTATTAAGGATTATACCAAGCTCAGTTCACTTAAGATCAGAGAGTTTGCAGACTGACCGTAGGTTAGGTAATTTGAAAATCAAAAAGGTTCATTTGTTATATTATAGAAACATTTTCGATGGACAATTTTTTATTCCACAATGCTTACTTAATGCCTGTACTCTTGAAGTAGCTTTGAAAGGCTTCTGTTTCCTTGTGTTCCACTTCTCTGTGCTGGACAGGAGCACCACCCAAGTAATCATCCAGTTCAACAGCTTTTATAGCAGCAGCTGCAGACTCATCCTGAAATAATATAAATCAAACTGAATTTGTCTTTTTCAAAATGGCCCTTCTCTAGGTAATGTTCACATTACAGTTTAAAAGATTCTACAGCAAATGAATGTCTCTCCTTAAAACACAAAAACTCTTTTTTAAAGTCACCTTGAAAAAAAAATTCCAAATTCTAGAGTTCATTGTTTATTGAAGATATAAGAATACCAGGAAGTAGAAGTGTTACCAGCCGAGCATGGCTTCTGGAGATGAGTTTTATGGAACAATAGCAATAGATATTCATTGTATATCATATTTATAGTAACAGTGACCTTGACCTTTGACCTTCAAACCTCAACAGCAAGCCCAAGGAAGCACTTTTGATAATGAAGCACTGTATGAAGTTTGGGCTTGATTGGCCGAAGTGAACTCCATTTATCACCAAAAAATCCTTTGTGCAGACAACTGTACCTTTGGCAGGCGACACAAAAACCATCAAAGAAGCTGTAACCAGTTCTCAAAATTCTCCAAAATTTCAGGTTTGTTTCCCCAATTAACCAACAGAATAATTCCAACTCTCTCTCTATCACAGTGTGAGTTGTACTCCTACGACCCAGCAAACATACAGTATTATCACTTGATGCTAAAAATGTAAAAAGTTTCGAAAAACAAAAATATTCCATGGTATTTCCTCACACCTGCTTTGATATTTTAAGTTGATGTTTACACCTCACACCTGCTTTGATATTTTAAGTTGATGTTTACACCTCACACCTGCTCTGATATTTTAAGTTGATGTTTACACCTCACACCTGCTTTGATATTTTAAGTTGATGTTTACACCTCACACCTGCTTTGATATTTTAAGTTGATGTTTACACCTCACACCTGCTTTGATATTTTAAGTTGATGTTTACACCTCACACCTGCTTTGATATTTTAAGTTGATGTTTACACCTCACACCTGCTTTGATATTTTAAGTTGATGTTTACACCTCACACCTGCTTTGATATTTTAAGTTGATGTTTACACCTCACACCTGCTTTGATATTTTAAGTTGATGTTTACACCTCACACCTGCTTTGATATTTTAAGTTGATGTTTACACCTCACACCTGCTTTGATATTTTAAGTTGATGTTTACTCACACCTGCTTTGATATTTTAAGTTGATGTTTACACCTCACACCTGCTTTGATATTTTAAGTTGATGTTTACACCTCACACCTGCTTTGATATTTTAAGTTGATGTTTACACCTCACACCTGCTTTGATATTTTAAGTTGATGTTTACACCTCACACCTGCTTTGATATTTTAAGTTGATGTTTACACCTCACACCTGCTTTGATATTTTAAGTTGATGTTTACACCTCACACCTGCTTTGATATTTTAAGTTGATGTTTACACCTCACACCTGCTTTGATATTTTAAGTTGATGTTTACACCTCACACCTGCTTTGATATTTTAAGTTGATGTTTACACCTCACACCTGCTTTGATATTTTAAGTTGATGTTTACACCTCACACCTGCTTTGATATTTTAAGTTGATGTTTACACCTCACACCTGCTTTGATATTTTAAGTTGATTTTAAGTTCACACCTGCTTTGATATTTTAAGTTGATGTTTACACCTCACACCTGCTTTGATATTTTAAGTTGATGTTTACACCTCACACCTGCTTTGATATTTTAAGTTGATGTTTACACCTCACACCTGCTTTGATATTTTAAGTTGATGTTTACAAAAGCAATGACATGATATGTTAAATAACACTATCTACTGGACTGGTTTTCCATAGAATTCACCAAAATTCCCTCTTTTTCATCTTAAAACTGCCCACCAAAGTACTCTCAAACTCTAATTTTTCCTAATTTAAACACTTTTTGATCTGGTTGTTGGAGTATTTACCTTAACTGATATAAAAGTAAATTTTATCATTGATGTAGAGTAAAACTTTGGCATGTCGAAAGAGTACTACAATCCTCTCCCCCTAAAAATTTTGTGCACGGCTTTATGAATTGTTGAAATTTGAAAATCTTACCCCAATGTTTGAGACCTCAGATTCCATTATTATTGATTCAACATTAACGTAAGTGAACGATATACATCATCGTAAATAACTCATACAATGCATCAAAAGTGATGATATAATCCTACTGTGACTTGCTTACGTTTAATGGTCCTACTGTGGTATCAAGTCCATGTGTTCTAAGCAAGTACAGATTTACATTTTCATCGCACGCACGCATGCACGCACGCACGCACGCACACACGCACACACACAAATTCAGCCAAGTGCAGGACAACAGATTTTAAGTACAAAAGTAAGTTGAAGTGTTATAATTCCGACCGGTTGTTACCGTTGTAGTTTCACTGCCAAGCCAGAAATGGATTCGCATATCCAGAGCACCTTTCCCCTCCTTAATCTGTAAGTAAAATATGTCAGAAATATCAGGGTATAGCAACATAAACATCTGGGTATACCAACCACAACATCAGGGTATACTAACAACAACATCAGGGTATACCAACAACAACATCAGGGTATACTAACAACAACATCAGGGTATACCAACAACAACATCAGGGTATACTAACAACAACATCAGGGTATACCAACAACAACATCAGGGTATACCAACAACAACATCAGGGTATACCAACATAAACATCAGGGTATACCAACAACAACATCAGGGTATAGCAACATAAACATCTGGGTATACCAACAACAACATCAGGGTATACCAACAACAACATCAGGGTATACCAACAACAACATCAGGGTATAGCAACATAAACATCTGGGTATACCAACAACAACATCAGGGTATACTAACAACAACATCAGGGTATACTAACAACAACATCAGGGTATACTAACAACAACATCAGGGTATACTAACAACAACATCAGGGTATACCAACAACAACATCAGGGTATACCAACAACATCAGGGTATACCAACATAAACATCAGGGTATACTAACATAAACATCAGGGTATACTAACAACAACATCAGGGTATACCAACAACAACATCAGGGTATAGCAACATAAACATCTGGGTATACCAACAACAACATCAGGGTATACCAACAACGACATCAGGGTATAGCAACATAAACATCTGGGTATACCAACAACAACATCAGGGTATACCAACAACAACATCAGGGTATACCAACAACAACATCAGGGTATACTTACAACAACATCAGGGTATACTAACAACAACATCAGGGTATACTAACAACAACATCAGGGTATACTAACAACAACATCAGGGTATACCAACAACAACATCAGGGTATACTAACAACAACATCAGGGTATACCAACAACAACATCAGGGTATACCAACAACAACATCAGGGTATACCAACATAAACATCAGGGTATACCAACAACAACATCAGGGTATAGCAACATAAACATCTGGGTATACCAACAACAACATCAGGGTATACCAACAACAACATCAGGGTATACCAACAACAACATCAGGGTATAGCAACATAAACATCTGGGTATACCAACAACAACATCAGGGTATACTAACATAAACATCAGGGTATACCAACAACAACATCAGGGTATACTTACAACAACATCAGGGTATACCAACATAAACATCAGGGTATACTTACAACAACATCAGGGTATACTAACAACAACATCAGGGTATACTAACAACAACATCAGGGTATACTAACAACAACATCAGGGTATACTAACAACAACATCAGGGTATACCAACAACAACATCAGGGTATACCAACAACAACATCAGGGTATACCAACAACAACATCAGGGTATACCAACAACAACATCAGGGTATACCAACAACAACATCAGGGTATACCAACAACAACATCAGGGTATACTAACAACAACATCAGGGTATACTAACAACAACATCAGGGTATACTAACAACAACATCAGGGTATACTAACAACAACATCAGGGTATACTAACAACAACATCAGGGTATACCAACAACAACATCAGGGTATACCAACATAAACATCAGGGTATACCAACAACAACATCAGGGTATACTAACAACAACATCAGGGTATACCAACATAAACATCAGGGTATACTTACAACATCAGGGTATACTAACAACAACATCAGAGTATACCAATAACAACATCAGGGTATACCAACATAAACATCAGGGTATACTTACAACATCAGGGTATACCAACATAAACATCAGGGTATACTTACAACATCAGGGTATACCAACATAAACATCAGGGTATACTTACAACATCAGGGTATACTAACAACAACATCAGAGTATACCAATAACAACATCAGGGTATACCAACATAAACATCAGGGTATACTTACAACATCAGGGTATACCAACATAAACATCAGGGTATACCAACACAGACATCAGGGTATACCAACACAGACATCAGGGTATACTGACAGTCAAACATTAGTGTCATCAGAGTCAAACATTAGTGTCATCAGAGTCAAACATTAGTGTCATCAAAGTCAAACATCGGTGACATCAGTGTCAAACATCAGTAATGTTAGTGTCAAACATCAGTGACATCAGTGTCAAACATCAGTAATGTCTGTGTCAAACATTAGTGACATCAGAGTCAAATATCAGTGAGGTCAGTGTCAAACATTAGTGACATCAGAGTCAAATATCAGTGACATCAGTGTCAAACATTAGTGACATTAGAGTCAGTCACATTTCCTAACTCACACAAGCATTAGTATTTTGGCAGGATTAATATTTCAGTAAATAGGTTCACAATTAAAATAGGTTTTACTCTAAGTCCTCATGTACTTATGTTTTAGGATGAAACTTATAGACTTAAAAATCTAATAAAGGTGTATGCTGGGATGTCTAGTGATGCCTAAGAATTGATATCCAATGAAGGCATCTTCCTGAAAAAGCAAAATTGAAATAGGCTTCATGTGATCTAATGCATTGATCTCTTATACACTACAGCATTAAATCTAGATGGTGATACATTATGGCTACGATATTCTACATGCATAAACTATAGGGATTTTTTTACCAGGGAAAAGATCAACAATGTGCAAATTTTAAATAACAAAAATCCCTTCCAAATTTAAAGCAGGGTGATGATGATAGTTAACTTAAGAAGAGTTTAGAATTGAATGCTATCAGTGACCAGGTGTAAATATTAAGGCTGGCAGACTCTACAGCTGGGAAATTTAATCACAAATTTATTATCTCCCTTGGCTGTAAGTCTCTAACCTTTACCAAAGCATGAGAGAGTCCTGAAAGGGAATAAGTAATATGTAATGTTTACAGGGCAATTGTGTCTGGGTGTATAGGTCTAGTGTAACAATACTAACTAAGGTCGGCTGACCTCACTACTTTGTCACTGTTAACGCAAACACTCAACTAAGTCTTGATTTCACAATCTTCTGTTGTCAATACCTTATGTAGTACTTTTACTGTAGTTGTACAGGAAAGCTGATAAGGATTGAATTTCGGTAATCAGATAACACAGCGTCTAACTTTTGTAGTCGGTAATAGCTTGTACAATTTTAAAACTGTTTTTTTTTTCATTTAAATGACATTCGTAAGAAACATTAAATCTTGTGAAATCAAAACAAATTGATAGCAAATACTTGGCAACTAAATCAAGAAAAAAAATCTAACAAAACACCCCACAATTATATTGGCAAGGAGCAAAGTTTTACCCGTGTCAAATACCTTCATGTTGGTTAAACCTCTGGGTCCACCTATCTCTGCAATCTGATGCAGAAATAAATCACATATATATTACAGATCCTTAACATCTCCATGTAAGTAGGATTCTTGTGCTTCAAAGACTTAAGGTTAACATAGAAGTTACATTTCCTGGCATGAATTTATTCTTCAAACAGATCTTGTATGCCTGTCTTTGTGTTTTCATTCACAAATGACAACTACAATCAGATGCAATAGTTCAATATTGTTCACCTAAATTCTACATCTATATGTAGATAAAAACTATTTCATCCCTGTGTATTTAAGATATGAATGATAATTGTTGCTTTATTCTGTGATACTCAGTTTATTCTAGACAAGAGGCCAAAGGGCCTTTACGGTCACAAGAGTCGTAATGCCTCTTGTAACATATAATACAAATAATTTTGTAGTTTAAGTAAAATAACTTTAACCAATTATACACATAATGCAAATATAAATTGTGTATACATTAACTGCTCTCCTACGCTAAGGCTTCTAACCAATTTTTGAATTAGAAGAAATTGCATTCAAGAATTGAATTTTCCTATAAAATTTTTCATCCATGAACAAAAGAACATTTTAAAAAATTTCGGTCAATTTAATCCATTTTTGACCCCCTCCATCAACCCCTAGGGGTCAGTAAAGGTCAATATGTGCATCTCATCAAAATTGTCTGCTAATATTAATAAAAAAATCTAACCCAGTTTAAATTATTTCTGAAAGAAGATAAGCAAATTATGCTATAAAATAAGAACATAGTAAATTTGACCCCTTCCCCAGGGGGAAATGTGAGATCCTGGGGTCATGAACTTTATAAATTTTATAAAGCACTGTAAGACACTTCCATCCATGAAGAATATTTGGTTCTACATTACCTGGGGAATTGAGAAGATGATTTTTGAAAATTCAGTCTATTTGACCCATTTTTGGTTCCACTTAACAGCCCCTGGGTATCAGCCGAGGTCAATATATTCATCTCATTAACCTGTCATTTTAAACTAATAATTCTAACCAGATTTGAACTATTTCCAATAGAAAATAAATATATAATGTTCAAAAATGTAATTTTCCTATATATAAATTATAGTAAAATTTACCCCCTCCCCAGGGAGAAATGTAAGATCCTGGGGGTCATGAAATTCACAATTTTGGTAAAACATGTGAAAGCCTTTCCATCCAGGAAGAGTACTTGATTCTAAAACACCTGGGATTTGAGAAGATAATTTTTTAAATTTCAATCTATTTGACATTTTTTGGCCCTGTCCCTCAGACTCTTGGGGTTGGGGACCATATAACAACTTTGGTGCACCTTTAGCCATGAAAAAGTTTTGCAAAATTTCATTGAAAGCAGTTCACAAGAAGAGGTTGAAAATGTTAAAAGTTTCCAACACATGTGATTGCAATAGGTCATCCAGGGACTTTGTCTCAAGTAACCTAATAGAACTCTCACATGTAACGTTTCAAGTCCAATTTTCTCTTTGATCATAACAAACTTATTTGATAACAATGAGATGTATAATGCTACATCATACCATGATATTGTCTCTGGATAACAATGACTATAAAACAATGCAGGAATTACGTTATACTGACAAGTGGTGCTAAAGCTTACAGACAAAATGATGTAGTTGATTACGATATACTGACAAGTGTTGCTAAAACTTAGACAAAATGACGTAGTTAATTACGATATACTGACAAGTGGTGCTAAAGCTTACAGACAAAATGATGTAGTTGATTACGATATACTGACAAGTGGTGCTAAAGCTTACAGACAAAATGATGTAGTTGACTACGATATACTGACAAGTGGTGCTAAAGCTTACAGACAAAATGATGTAGTTGATTACAATATACTGACAAGTGTTGCTAAAACTTAGACAAAATGATGTAGTTAATTACGATATACTGACAAGTGGTGCTAAAGCTTACAGACAAAATGATGTAGTTGATTACGATATACTGACAAGTGGTGCTAAAGCTTACAGACAAAATGATGTAGTTGACTATGATATACTGACAAGTGGTGCTAAAGCTTACAGACAAAATGATGTAGTTGATCACGATATACTGACAAGTGTTGCTAAAACTTACAGACAAAATGATGTAGTTGATTACGATATACTGACAAGTGTTAAATTTTACAGACAAAATGATGTAGTTAATTACGATATACTGACAAGTGGTGCTAAAGCTTACAGACAAAATGATGTAGTTGATTACGATATACTGACAAGTGGTGCTAAAGCTTACAGACAAAATGATGTAGTTGACTACGATATACTGACAAGTGGTGCTAAAGCTTACAGACAAAATGATGTAGTTGATCACGATATACTGACAAGTGTTGCTAAAACTTACAGACAAAATGATGTAGTTGATTACGATATACTGACAAGTGTTAAATTTTACAGATAAAATGATGTAGTTAATTACGATATACTTCTAAGTGGTGCTAAAGCTTACAAATTTAATGATGTAGATAATTACGATATACTGACAAGTGTTGCTAAAGCTTACAGATAAAATGATGTAGTTGATTACGATATACTGACAAGTGTTGCTAAAGCTTACAAATCTAATGATGTAGTTAATTACGATATACTGACAAGTGTTGCTAAAACTTACAGATAAAATGATGTAGTTAATTACGATATAATGACAAGTATTGCTAAAGCTTACAGACAAAATGATGTAGTTAATTACGATATAATGACAAGTATTGCTAAAGCTTACAGACAAAATGATGTAGTTGATTACCATATACTGACAAGTGTTGCTAAAGCTTACAGACAAAATGATGTAGTTAATTACGATATACTGACAAGTGGTGCTAAAGCTTACAGACAAAATGATGTAGTTGATTACAATATACTGACAAGTGTTGCTAAAACTTACAGATAAAATGATGTAGGAATCACCTTTGTAGAAATTGCCATACTGTTTCTTTGGCACTGCTACCACCTTCAAATCCTGAAATTAGAATGAAAGTAAAATGATTCCAGTCCTAAGTTTATAAATTCATCCTGTAAAAAAACACTTGTATAAGTCTACAGGGACCTACAAATAAACCAAAAGTAAAAATCAGGCTTCTTAAAGGGCATTGTTGTCATTTCTAATTAATCTTAAATAAATATGGGTGGGCTTAGTATCAGATACGGGCTTAATGCAGAGTAACCTTCATTACTGACACATTCTGAGAGAGTGAAGCAGAACCCAAGACAAAGGGCTTGTAATAATGCTTCGTTGTCTATGAAGTCAAGACAGGATCTAAGTATGGGCAAGAAGGTGAGAGGAAAATTATTTCATTAAAAGTAGTTATTCCTTACAGAATTATTTATAACGATAAAAGAAGATGATGAAAGTAGAGGTCGCGTACTACTCTTGACATGTTTCTCTCCTACCAAACTAGAGTGGAGTGTCATTAAAGTTCTGACAAGAGCAGGGTAGTTGTCACAGGTCTTTTACATATTGAGTGTTATTAACCACTCCCTACTGTAATTTACAGCAGTCAACAAGAGGACCAGTTCAAGTATAGAATTATGTTTTATGTTTTTTATGGAGCAGATTTTGTGAAGGGGGGAGCTACAAACTTGACATCACCTTCTAAAGTGTCACCTCCATAAAATCTATAATGTTGCTGCTTGATAATTAATAATCAAATAAAACCATAACAACAAACTGTGGCTGTTGCAAGATTTAAAAAAAACCACATCATCTCATTTCTATTATAGAACAGGTTATTCTTACAAAATCATTTCATCCTGAAGTTTTTTCCTCGATAAACCGGTTTTGGATAAACATTTCAAATTTCACATTGAAAGGGTCCTTCATTAATAAATCAAAAAGAATGCTAAATCATATTCAATGCATTCAGTGTTTGTAAACCTGCCAGCCTGGTTGTGTATACAGGCATTTTTTTAATTCTAGTCCAATTATACTGGTTTGTCCCAGAAGACTCTCTGTATATAACATTCATACAACAAGTTATGGTGGTCAGGGTCACCCTGACTCTTACATTTCTCTTATGTAGAGTCTGGCTTTACCTTGTTTATAAACTGACGAAAGATTTAAAATTAAGGAGAAGAAATATTTACTGTACAATACTATTAGCATATTTATCTGTGATCTGCATTCCTGGCTGTCTAGTGTACAGCTAACACTGAATTAAGGACATTTCAATACCTAGTTAAAAATCATCTAGCTGTAGCCATACAGCTCAATTATCCACAGCTGACAAAGAATACAACCACAGTACATGTACATATTATAATTTTAGAAACTTCGACCCCGCCCTATGACCTTGCTGTCATGTTATTGCAAAAAGGATCCTTGTACCATCATTTAAATGTTTTATTTGGTGTGAAGAAATAACACTACAGATTTTAAATCAGTGTGGAAAATTTTTTTCATGATCTTTTAGATTCTTACTTTTTAAAACCTATTTAGTAATTAGAACAATGGCTTGTACAATCTGCTGCCTAACAGCTAGGACCTCCCTATTAATTGTCTAATAACACAATGGAACAACGATAGGTCATTTCCTGTAGTCAACTCTGTCATAACACAAAATCATATCAAATAAACACTGGTTTTTGTATGAATCCAAGTGGAGAATTTAGATTGTCTTTGTGTGATTATTTTTATTGGGTGTCAGAAAGATGACATGACGTCATAGAACATTAATACCACAGCCTCCAGGTATCTGCCATTACACTTAAACATTCATTGGTCATACATCTATAATCTACAGAGATTTGAGATGTGACACACATTTTCATACCTCAATTCGCCATATATAAAAGCCAGGCTTATTCTTGGTGATATTCAGGAATGCAGGGTCTATAACTGTTGACATCTTGGCAGAGGTTCTGTCACCTGTCAATGCTGAAATAAGAAAAACCACACATTAACATACAGTACACATCCATCTCTGTCATTTAACGCTGCAGAATTGACCACATCTCTGTGTTGAAAAAAGTCCTGGTGTAGCATAAGGGATTGGCATAACTTGGACACAGAGACACACTTTATATCGGGACAGAAATAGACATGCAATTCAGCAAAGAACTTAAAAATCTCTTCAGATTGGCTGTGTTTGTTGCTGGCTTTACTGCCTCATAAATAGTCAAGGCCAACTAATTAGATTGGTGTGATGGCCAAACAGGTGTGGGGGTTAGATAGGTATGGTGGTAAGACAGGTGTAGTGGATAGACAGGTATGGTGGTAAGACAGGTACAGTGGATAGACAGGTATGGTGGTAAGACAGGTGTAGTGGATAGACAGGTATGGTGGTAAGACAGGTACAGTGGATAGACAGGTATGGTGGTTATACAGGTATGGTGGTTAGACAGATATGTCAATTAGACAGGTGTAGGGGTTAGACAGATGTAGGGGTTAGACAGGTATGGTGGTTAGACAGATATGTCGATTTGACAGGTGTAGGGGTTAGACAGGTGTAGGGGTTAGACAGGTATAGTGGTTAGACAGGTATAGTGGTTAGACAGGTATGGTAAGACAGGAGTGAAGTTTAGACAGGTATGGTTAGTGAAGAAGTATGGTGTTTAGACAGAACAGGTATGTTGTTTAGACAGGAGTGGAAGTTATACAGGTGTTGAGAACAAGACCAGGTGTTTAAGAAGGGTAAGCATCATTATATTGTATGTTCTAAACAGAGAGATATCTGCATTGTTAGGAAACAGACTTCTCTACTATCTATACAAACAGGTAAATCATACTGTTGATATCTACAATGTCTCCTTTGACCTTGATTCCTATAAATCCATGCAGTGTTCTATATTGAATCTTTCTATTCACTTCACATATGCTCCATATAAATACTCCACACTCTACAGGGTAATACTAACATGTTTGATACTTTTAAGAAATGTTTTATCAAACCTGACAGTGGGATTAGGTCATCATTTTCAGTCTGTCATAAACCACACCCATTCTTGTTATCGTCAGAAGTGTTTGTTTCATGGATTTATTTCTTAACGCTGCCAATCCTTTTCTTCCAATACTAGACATTACAGGTACGCCTACACCTGGCAACCACCATAGTAACCTCTCCCTCAAACTCATCTCCCCTCACACCCACAGCCTCTCACTCATCTCCTCTACCACCCACAGCCTCTCACTCTTCTCCTCTACCACCCACAGCCTCTCATTCATCTCCTCTCCTCTCCCCCCTACCAGGTAACACTGTCACACATATTGTTAACTTGATCAGTCCCCCTCCAAGGTAACAATGTCACACACATTGTTAACTTGAACAGTCCCCCTCCCTGGTAACACTGTCACACACATTGTTAACTTGAACAGTCCCCCTCCCTGGTAACAATGTCACACACATTGTTAACTTGAACAGTCCCCCTCCCTGGTAACACTGTCACACACATTGTTAACTTGAACAGTCCCCACTACCAGGTAACACTGTCACAAACATTGTTAACTTGATCAGTCCCCCTCCCTGGTAACACTGTCACACACATTGTTAACTTGATCAGTCCCCTCCCAGGTAACACTGTCACACACATTGTTATCTTTTTGAACAGTGAGTGACATTAACAATGTCACACACATTGTTAAATGAATACAGCAACAGATGGAACACTGTCACACACATTGTTAATGGTACCTAGAACACTGGATTCACACATATTGTTATTAATGAGTATGTAGATGTAACACTGTCACAAACATGTGTTTCAGACTTGATATTAGTGTCGCTATGGTAACATTGCCACAGCATGGTCAACTTGATCAGTCCCCCTCCCAGGTAACAATGTCACACACATTGTTAACTTGAACAGTCCTCCTCCCAGGTAACACTGTCACACACATTGTTATCTTGATCAGTCCCTTTCTCAGATAACACTGTCACACATATTGTTAACTTGATCAGTCCCCCTCCAAGTAACACTGTCACAAACATTGTTAACTTGATCAGTCCCCCCTCCAGGTAACACTGTCACAAACATTGTTATCTTGATCAGTCCCCCCTCCAGGTAACACTGTCACAAACATTGTTAACTTGATCAGTCCCCCCTACCAGGTAACATTGTCACACACATTGTTAACTTGAACAGTCCCCCTACCAGGTAACACTGTCACAAACATTGTTAACTTGATCAGTCCCCCCTACCAGGTAACACTGTCACACATATTGTTAACTTGAACAGTCCCCCTCCCAGGTAACACTGTCACACACATTGTTATCTTGATCAGTCCCTTTCTCAGATAACACTGTCACACACATTGTAAACTTGATCAGTTCCCCTCCCAGGTAACACTGTCACACACATTGTTAACTTGAACAGTCCCCCTCCCAGGTAACACTGTCACAAACATTGTTAACTTGATCAGTCCCCCCTCCAAGTAACACTGTCACACACATTGTTAACTTGATCAGTCCCCCCTCCAGGTAACACTGTCACAAACATTGTTAACTTGATCAGTCCCCCCTACCAGGTAACACTGTCACACACATTGTTAACTTGATCAGTCCCCCCTCCAGGTAACACTGTCACACACATTGTTATACTTTATAAATGGACACAGACTTACTTGTTCAACAAATACCACAAAATCTTACTATTTGTATTAAGTGTACCAGGACCGTATTACTACATAGAGTGTGTAATGAGGCATATAAACAGTTCAAACCCGGATTGACTTGATGTAGGATATCACTCCATAAAGTTATATCTGAAAAGGCAATTTGTAGGTACAATTAATTAACCATTAGCTAAATTGTTTCTGAATGCCTAATGAGCAGGTGCTGATAGTACACTAGAGAAAACCACCTACTCATGTTATTGTTGCACATTATAAGGCTGAGCAGAGGTTGTGGTACGAGTTACAGTGTAAAAATTCCTGTTTCAGCACAAGTTACAATGTTATATCAAGCTCCACATAGTGAGACAAGCTATATGATGTATGTCAGAACTTGGGCCCAGGCTTTGATGCAATGAAAAGTCAAGCACTAAACTGTGTCAAAAGTTACAATGTAAAGCCTACAAGCAAACTCTGCTAAAACTTACAATGTAAAGTCTACCACAAGACTGCGCTTCAAGTTACAATGCAGAGTCTAGCACCAAACTGTGCTTCAAGTTACAATGCAGAGTCTAGCACCAAACTGTGTCAGAAGTTACAATACAGAGTCTAGCACCAAACTGTGCTTCAAGTTACAATGGAGAGTCTAGCACAAAACTGTGCTGCAAGTTACAATGCAAAGTCTAGCACCAAACTGTGCTTCAAGTTACAATATAAAGTCTACCATAAGATTGTGCTTCAAGTTACAATGCAGAGCCTAGCACCAGACTGTGCTACAAGTTACAATGCATAGTCTAGCACCAGACTGTGCTAAAAGTTACAATGCAGAGTCTAGAACCAGACTGTGCTAAATGTTACAATGCAGAGTCTAGAACCAGACTGTGCTAAAAGTTACAATGCAGAGTCTAGAACCAGACTGTGCTAAAAGTTACAATGCAGAGTCTAGCACCAGACTGTGCTTAAAGTTACAATGCAGAGTCTAGCACCAGACTGTGCTAAAAGTTACAATGCAGAGTCTAGAACCAGACTTTGCTAAAAGTTACAATGCAGAGTCTAGAACCAGACTGTGCTAAAAGTTACAATGCAGAGTCTAGCACCAGACTGTGCTTAAAGTTACAATGCAGAGCCTAGCACCAGATTGTGCTTCAAGTTACAATGCAGAGTCTAGAACCAGATTATGAGAGCTAAAAATATTTGAAAACCTCTTCATCAAGAAATAGATCTGTAATCACAATTTCTTGTAAACATTTTCTTATAAAAGACAAAAACATTTATTCATAAACAGGTAAAACTAGATTTATATAAATAAACATCTCTATATGAATGACGCAAATCTTGTTGTCAACTCAGAACACAAATATTTACCTAAAAAGAAAGTCTGATTTATAAACCATAGTAGAGACTAATAGCTGTATGGCTCTGCCATCCATACAGGTATGCATCATCTATATGCATGACAAGGTAGTCACTGATGTGTGCACACATGAGATACGTAAACACATTTAGCATATTTACTGGTGTATGTATGGATGTGTGTAACTCTGATCTCAGCCTTCATTGCTGGCTAGATTTCTAGATTAAATCTTCATGCTAAAGTAAAGTAAAACTAAAGTAACGTCATTAGTATCAGTACCTTTTTCTATCCTGCAGACCTTAGCAAAGACGATTATCTTCACACATTCTGAAACAGTTCGGACATTAATTCAGTTATAAATATTTAGCATTTCTAATTAAGACCTTCCTTGTCTCCTTTCTTTTGGCCATGAGTCCCACATCTGTTAACATTGTGTTCTAGAAGAGTTATCTTCCTATGGTTAGTTTGACCTTGAGGCATATTACCGTATAGCGCATCTTGTTAACTTGACAATACTTTGAATTCCTCTCTACAACTATGTGAGAATGTCTGGAGATCACCTTTAAATCTCCTCAGCCTTAGTCGGGACCCACACACAAACCTCATTCATCTGTGGGCAAATGTCAACATTTAAAATACCTACTCCTTCATGCTTGATCTGTACAGCCCTCCTACAAATGGGTACATGCAACAGTTTTGTTAGAGAAAAAAACACAGGTAAAATTTACCTGGTTAGTGGCATGCAAGCTTTGTGACAAAACTTTCCGATAAGGTCTATATGAGGAAGAAGGTAGTAAAAAAAGGTGTGGAAACATATGCATTTTTTTATCAGCATTTCATGACGACAAATACATGTATACACGTGTAAGTTTATACCCAATTTAACCATGCTTTCAGTCAAAGCTCAGCATAAGGAATACATTGGAAGGATGTCTTATAATAATACACATCCACCCAACACCAAGTCTCCCTTGTTATTTTCGTGTAATGTTCCACAATATCTTCATTGTGTGGTATACAAAAACAAGGCAAAAAATATATATTCCAGTGAAACATCACAATCCACAATATTAAATTTCTTTATGGCTGCAGATTTTTATTTTTTTTTTTAACTTAAAACTGAACAGTTAAAATTGAATGACAATGGCTTTGTATCTTATGTAACCCAGTAAGTTACATGTACATAAATATAACATAAAAATATTCCCCAAGCTACTGAACAAAGGTGCCATTCTCGTAATAGGGAAATACTGATGACTGTGATTAACAGTGGTCAGTCCAGCCCTAGGTGATATGTCATCAATATTGACAAGGAGATTGAGAGGTCATGTCCTTGGGGCGTACACATCAAAATCTTGTTTTCTCACATAAAAACCTTCTCTGTTGACACAAGCTGTGGTGGTCTTCAAGATACCGTATCTATCCTGTGATAAGTCCAGAGGACCAAAAAATTTTCTGTTTCACTCATAGTCAGGGGTGGGCTTATTACAGGACACCTGGACATACAAATAACCTTTTCACTCAAAGTCAAGGGGTGGGCTTATTACAGGACACCTGGACATACAAATTACCTTTTCACTCAAAGTCAAGGGGTGGGCTTATTACAGGACACCTGGACATACAAATTACCTTTTCGATCAAAGTCAAGGGGTGGGCTTATTACAGGACACCAAAGCCAACAAATGACCTTTTCACTCAAAAATCATAGGACCCCAGGGGCCAACAAATTACCATTTTACTCACACTCAAGGGGTTGGCTTATTACAGGAAACTTGGGACCTACAAATTACCATTTTACTCAATGTCAATGGTGGGCTCATTTCAGGACCTCAACCAAACACATTAACTTTATACTAAATGAACAGCATGTGACTTAATGCTACACAAGTAGGAGGTATTGTAGATATCAAATGAGGAACCAAGTTGAGAATAATTAGAAATGAATTATGTTTATTCTACTAAACTTTTGACTCAGTTTGAATAGTGTTTGTGTTAAGTTCTAAGGAAATACATCACAAAACAGACCAATCATTGCTGGTAGGTTTGTGTTCTTATTATTGTTCTGGAAGGCATGCCGCAAGGGCCTCCCATATGTTGTTCTGTGAAGTAGCCACCAGCTTCTACATGGAGGTTCCAACTCAAAATGATCCTAGTTGCTCACGGGGCAATAAACCCAGCAATAAAACAAACCTTCATGAGGGTACAAAGACACCCCAAATGGGTGAAACTCTGGACATGTACTCTCTAGTTTTACCTAGTTAACAACCACACCTTCATGAGGGTACAAAGACACCCCAAATGGGTGAAATTCTGGACTTTTACCCTCTAGTTAAACCTAGCAAACAACCACATCTTCATGAGGGTACAAAAACACCCCAAATGGGTGAAATTCTGGACTTTTACCCTCTAGTTAAACCTAGCAAACAACCACACCTTCATGAGGGTACAAAGTGAAATTAAACCCCTCTAGTAGCAAACAACCACACCATCACCACACCTTCATGAGGGTTCAAGGGTAGACACCCCAAATGGGTGAAATTCTGGACTTTTACCCTCTAGTTAAACCTAGCAAACAACCACAATGGATGGGTGAAATTCTGGACTTGTACCCTCTAGTTAAACCTAGCAAACAACCACACCTTCATGAGGGTACAAAGACACCCCAAATGGGTGAAATTCTGGACTTGTACCCTCTAGTTAAACCTAGCAAACAACCACACCTTCATAAGGGTACAAAGACATGCCAAATGGGTGAAATTCTGGACTTTTACCCTCTAGTTAAACCTAGCAAACAACCACACCTTCATAAGGGTACAAAGACATGTCAAATGGGTGAAATTCTGGACTTGTACCCTCTAGTTAAACCTAGCAAACAACCACACCTTCATGAGGGTACAAAGACACCCCAAATGGGTGAAATTCTGGACTTGTACCCTCTAGTTAAACCTAGTTAACAACCACACCTTCATTAGGGTACAAAGACATGCCAAATGGGTGAAATTCTGGACCTGTACCCTCTAGTTAAACCTAGTTAACAACCACACCTTCATTAGGGTACAAAGACACCCCAAATGGGTGAAATTCTGGACCTGTACCCTCTAGTTAAACCTAGTTAACAACCACACCTTCATTAGGGTACAAAGACACCCCAAATGGGTGAAAATCTGGACTTGTACTCTCTAGTTAAACCTAGCAAACAACCACACCTTCATGAGGGTACAAAGACACCCCAAATGGGTGAAAATCTGGACATTTGTCCCCTTGTCTTCAAGCACTTACCTAGTGTAAATACATTGTTTGGGATACAGTGGTAGTCCCAATTTCAAAGGGCAAGGGGCCCAAAGAGCACTGATGTTCGGTGCACCAATCTATTTCTGTAAGTGCTTTCATCCTTCATTCAAGCTAAATGATCTACTAACCAAAGTTATAACTAAATGATCTATTGAACCAAGTTATAACTGAATTTACTTATGTAAACAGGATTTTTTCCATTTTTTTGGAAAAGGGCCTATATATTTTGAGAATCTGATTGTATTATAAAATAAATCTATTTTGACCCATATAAAGCTTCGGAAAAGGTATAACTAGATCATAGACAATCTGGTACTTGCCAGAGTTATGACTGAATCATCTACAAACTCAGGTCATCTATAACATGCACTAAATTACTTAGCCAATCAGCTTTCATCTTTCTATTTGTGTAGCTGACCATAATCCACAGTTTTGTTGATGAAAATCATCTATAATAACTAAGTTCCTTGTTGCTATACCCCGTCTATTTTCTTAAATCCTTTGAAATCATGTTTTTCCCTCTATCTTGTCTAAATAAAGGAAGTTATTCAGAATAAATTAGCTGTTTACAGAGAGAAAACACAGGAATGTGATGACTTTTCAAGGAAACAAGTCCAGCACAATTGAAAACGCACCAAGATTGTGGAATTTTCCCTGGGGAGGCTGTACACGTACATTAAAAAAAATCTGCTTTGGAAAATTTTATCTTTATCATAATTTGAAGCAGATATGTTGGTTTTATTGAAATTATCACATATTTTCTGTCTTTTGAGTTCAAAAATCTGAGATAATATTTCTTTTTAGGACAACTGGCAAGTATGTTACTAGAAATGAAACCAGATTTCTGCAGCTAGTTTATTGATTAGTAATTTTGTTCCAATGTAAATAATTTTATCGAGCAATATTGATGATTTAATGATTGATCGAAATTATTCCTGAAAAACTAAATCATTGACAGATATCATTGTTATTTTCAATAAATCATTATTATGTTGGCAATTACAAACAAACAAAATACTTTTATCATGGATAATATTGATTATATGTATCATAGGTCCCTGGTACAATAGATTATTATACCTGTCATATTTACTTGGTTTAATCGGGATAAGAATTAAAATATTAAGCTATAAGTCAATAGCTCACACAGAATTATTGAAGGAACATGTTCTTGTGATGGTATCAGTTGATTTTTTTAAGAACAATACATGCTAATAATAACATGTCCTTATTTGGTGAAGGCATTTTAAGACCAGATATCATTTAATGGTCACTTTGCCTTGGAGGCCTCGAGTAACGTTGTGCTGTGTATAACTGATAAAACTGGCTACCAATTATTTATCATACCAACAAAACAATCTGAATGTCAGGAATTCTTCTGAGCTACCGAATGACATGATTATCTCTATCAATTTACCCCAGTTTACATCAATGTCCAACACTCCCTCGGGTGCCCCTTAGGTTGATCTCAGCCAAGAGGCACTCGACCGTGACGAAACGTATCAAGTCACAAACAGCAGGTGAAAACATGCTTGTTAGAGGTACTCCCCTAGGGTGATAGGTGTGATATACGCTATCCCCCGGGCCCAATCCTCCCCCACTGACACGACACAGTAAGGTGGTACCCGTCCTCGTGTCGCTATTTATAGCCCGTCACAGGTTTTGCACCCTAACAGGCTGACGGTCAGCATTCTGCAGATTTAGCGATTAGATCCATGCCAATTTACAAATTCGAACAGTAAATGTGACTGTCACTTTGATTTAAACGTTTGTAGAAATTCAGATTAAAATGTTGGGGTACTTCTAAGTATTACGTTAACATCATCACCTACCTTGTTTCTCGAACCGGTCCCACAGGTAGCAGTAATACACAGTTATCGGTCCTGTCAGCGGAATGGTATGTCACAAACAAAAATAGATCGATTAGCTTGTTCACTTACCTGTATTCGTCCGCGAGAAACCAAGTCCCTGTATTAACATAACCCGTGGTCATGAACTGTGGGATGTCACTTCGTAAATTATGCAAATAAGGCAACAAATATAGGAGAAGACTGAAATATGTATGAAGTGAGATACGTCGTGTTTGATCGGCAACAGCGGCATTGCTCCATTATTTCAAAGAACGACCCCTCTATAGTGACATATTTAGTGGCCTACCTGAGTTACACGGTTGCGTAATAGTTTCGTAAATTGCAAGGTTTCCAGGAGAAAACGCTGTTTGACATTCTTAAGGGGGCATGTAGTAGAGACCCATATTAAATCTGAGAATTATAGAGCTCTTCAGGGTCCGCTTTTGGTCCTATGTGTCATTTTCATCTATTTTTAGCATTAATTTTTCTTCTTTTTTTTTTCATTTCAAGAAATGAAATATACTAGACAACGATAACATTCACATATATATAAATTACAGAATATGACATTAAAATCATTTATTTGACCTAACTCATATATATATTTATAACATTTGATTTTTCTTCGTAAGATTCGACCATTTCCTGGTGGTATTATGTATATAATACAAAAAACAAAGTTGAAGAGGTCACGTGGACCTCGAGGAAGTATCATGAACAAACGCTAATCAGGATTACTATTCAACTGTTTAGGTGAATTTCAATTATTTCCAAGTCTAAGTGAAGGATTTTTTTTTACAATCAGTCATTCTTCGTGGCATTATTCTCGTTATAATTTGTTGTAATTGTGTCTTCTTTTATCATACACTCATCCGCATAGTTTATGTTATAACAATTACGAAACAAGTCATTCCAACTTACGCTAATCACTTTTGTTGGCCCCGGCTGGAAGCGCACAGGGGGGTCTAAGCGTGGAAGAAAACCGGGCTAACGGGTAAACCTTCGTGGCCGACCAGGTGACTCCGCCCCCTTTCACGTCCGTTACAGGAGTCGAGCCCCGGACGTTCAGGTGAAAGGAGACGACCATAAGAGATATCACAGCGTCACTCGACCACGTCTTTGAATCATTCGTGATATCTTTATTTCCTGTCTTGTGTGAATGTCTTCCACTTAACCTTTTGTATATCTATGGGTTAAAATTTTGTACATAAAATATAAGTGTACGTTTACCACTGACTTAAAATCATTTTCACAAACTCACAAGTTTACTGAATATGTTCCGGTTTGAGTCAGTTGATTAAATCAAAGTTAATGAAACCACATCACTTTTCTCCTATTTCAGAAAAGATTTGAAGGACAATATTTTCACAAAGCAGCTATTGATGCTATTGAAAGAGGGGAAAACCTCAACAAATTGTGAAATAGGACTGAGAGCCTATACATTTTGGAGTAATGGTTAGAGGGAGGTAACTCCTGTCTACAATACTAACTGGTTTAAAAAAAAACTTAGTCAATAGTGGGCGGAAGGGTAGACAAACCGGTTGAACAGGTCTGAGAGGTAGACTGTGTGTAATCAATAGGATTTGGCGTAACGGAGTGTTGTATAGTTGTAGCCATTCATGCGTGACTTTTAATCCCACGGTCCCAGGGTATTCATTAAACATATCTTATATTTAGATTATAAGAATGGTTTAAATAAATATAGAAGTGATCACACGTTGTAAACTTGTTTTTGTTGTTGTTGTCGTCACAGTTTAAACAAGAACGCTAGTTTATTTCTATCAAACGATAGTGTTACCCTAGATTAAACCGTGTTAATTTGAATTCGTAATTTGTAGTACGTTTTCCCATATATGTATACACATTTCTGTTTACGTTTCAACGCTATCCCAATAGTGACCACTTGTTTGGTACGGGAAACCCCTCTCCAATTTAGCACCGATAACGTTACGTAATAGTTTTGAAAACGAGGCACGAACACCTGACGACGGGCAGAAAAGTACGGAAGCCGGTTAGTGCCACTTTTTTATGAGTTAATTTTTTTGAGTCGTAATTACGACTTAGCATCTCGTAATTACGACTAAACATCTCGTAATTACGACATAGCATCTCGTACTTACGACATAATTATCTAGTAGTTACGACTTAGTTATCTCGTATTTACGACATACTTTCTCGTAATTCCGATTAACTTATCTCGTAATTACGACTTTGTTATCTCGTTATTACAACTTAGTCATCTTGTGATATTACGACAAAGACCGAACTGTTTTGCGGTAATGTTTGCTTCCGTCGACTCACACACGTGTTTTTGACAGATGGCATCGGGAGGTTCCCCAGTCCAGAAGGAAAAAGAAAAAGTATACATGTTTGCATAAACTTACCATTCACTTCCTTCAGGACTGGGGGAGACAACTTGCCCCTTTATCAAGACACAAGTATTACATAAGTTACCACACATAGATAGAACATTAAACAAATACAATGTTATGAATCTAAATCGAGAGCGGTGGTGTAAATTTAGGTGTCTCGATAATCCCTTCGGCCGATGGACGCCGAACTTGGTGTCAGAGATAGAAACTTATATAGTTCGGCCGATAACGACAGTTAGGCAAATAAGCCGATAACGAAAAATAGGCAAAAAATCCTAACAAGCCGTTTACGATTATTTTCATCCACTTTCTGTACTATCCGCAAGGTGATGAACAAGTTAGAACCAAGAAAAGAACGATCCCATGTGTTTATATATTAAGATTCACGTGCAACAAACCCAAAGATCGTGGTTGAAGGGGGTGGTAAAATGTGCTGGAAGATGTTAAGGTAGGCAATGGTGGGGAAAGGTGCGGGGAGATGTTAAGGTAGACAGGGATAGTGAAAGGTGCGGGAAGATGTTAAGGTAGGCGATGGTGATGAAAGATGCGGGAAGATGTTAAGGTAGGCGATGGTGGTGAAAGGTGCGGGAAGATGTTAAGGTAGACAGGGATAGTGAAAGATGCGGGAAGATGTTAAGGTAGGCGATGGTGATGAAAGGTGCGGGGAGATGCTAATGCAGACAGGGATAATGAAAGGTGCGGGGAGATGTTTAGTTAGACAGGGATAGTGAAAGATGCGGGAAGATGTTAAGGTAGGCGATGGTGGTGAAAGGTGCGGGGAGATGTTAAGGTAGACAGGGATAGTGAAAGGTGCGGGAAGATGTTAAGGTAGGCGATGGTGATGAAAGGTGCGGGGAGATGCTAAGGTAGACAGGGATAGTGAAAGGTGCGGGAAGATGTTAAGGTAGGCGATGGTGATGAAAGGTGCGGGGAGATGGTAAGGTAGACAGGGATAGTGAAAGGTGCGGGAAGATGTTAAGGTAGGCGATGGTGGTGAAAGGTGGGGGAAGATGTTAAATTAGACAGGGATAGTGGAATATGCAGAAGCAGTTAAGGTTGACGAGGATGGTGAAAGGTGCGGGAGATGTTCAGGCAGACAGGGTTAGGTGCTGGGAAATTTTAAAGGTTAGAAGCGATGGTGAAATGTACGGGAGGACTTTCTGAAACATGACATTTTAATGAATTGTCAGGGTCAGCCATTAAAGTGTAGGCTGAGTGAAAATAGAAATGAACATATTATTAATTTTCTATGTGTCAAAATAATAATTAAAAAGGAAAACCACATCAAAATCGGCCGGCCTAATACCGACGTGTATAGTGTACAATTTTCACCTGTCCTACTGCTAAAATTATCGCAAAAAAACCATCAAACAGCAACCAAAACGTTTTTGGAAGTACATAAACGAGAAACGTACAGTAAGATCGGGAATAGCAGATCTAAAAGAACTAGACGGCGACCAAACACAAATAGCTACAAGCGATGAAGAAAAAGCGGAAGTCTTGGTAAATTTCTGCACGAGTGTTTTTACTGAGGAACCGCCGGGCGAAAAACCTATATTCCCAGATAAAGTAGTTCATTGGCCTTTCGAGGAAACAAGTTTTAACGAAGAGAAAATTAAGAAGTATATATCAAAGCTAGATGTTAATAAATCGTGCGGGCCTGATGATATGCACCCCAAAGCACTCAAAGGACTTCGTAATGTCCTGATTAAACCACTAACGCTACTTTTCAATAAATCTCTGAATGAAGGTAGATTGCCACAAATTTGGAAGGAAGCTAATATTACAGCTATATACAAAAAGGAAGCTAAATGTGAGCCAGGGAATTATCGTCCTGTAAGTTTAACGAGTATCGTTGTTAAAATAATGGAAAAACTTATTCGCGATAAAATTGTAAATCATATGCAAGTAAACGGCTTATTTAGCGACAAGCAATTCGGTTTTCTGCCAGGTAGATCTACAACTCTTCAGATGCTGCTAGTTCTGGATGAATGGACAAGTATATCGGATAAAGGGGAGCAGGTGGGTGTTATTTACATGGACTTTATGAAAGCGTTTGATAAAGTACCACACCGCCGACTCATTCACAAACTTTATAAATATGGAATTGGATTTAAAACGGTAAAATGGATTGAAAATTTCTTAAGCAACAGACACCAAAGAGTAGTAATAAATGGTTCATCGTCGAAATCCCATGGTGTACTTAGTGGAATTCCTTAAGGTAGTGTACTAGGACCAATTCTATTTGTTATATACATAAATGATATGCCGGATAATACCATTTCACCCTGTCCACTTTTTGCTGATGACACAAAATTATATCGCAATATCCAAAGTCAAGAAGATTCCAGTATTCTGCAAGCAGATCTCGATAGTCTCCAAAAGTGGTCAGAAGACTGGTTGCTGAAATTCCACCCGAACAAATGTAAAGCACTGCATATCAGAAGAACAGGACTAGAGGAACGGAATTATTACCTGCAGAGTTCTAACGTCAGCTTAATTACTTTTGAGAAAACGGAAATTGAAAAAGATCTGGGATTATCAGTTGATCATAAATTGGATTTTCGGCCACACATAGCAGAACTCGATACACAAAGCTAACTCGATTTTAGGTATTATCACATCTTTTACTTATATGGGCAAATCTGTATTCAAACAACTATTCACAGCATTAGTAAGACCACATTTAGAGTATGGAGCATGCGCATGGAACCCCTACAAATTAAAAGATGTTCAAATGATTGAAAACATCCAACGA